AACTTCTTTTTTTTTTTTTTTTTTTGAAGATTTTATTTATCTATTTGACAGAGAGAGACACAGCAAGAGAGGGAACATAAGCAGGGGGAGTGGGAGAGGGAGAAGCAGGCTTCCCGCTGAGCAGGGAGCCCGATGCAGGGCTCAATCCCAGGATCCTGGGATCATGACTTGAGCCAAAGGCAGATGCTTAACGACTGAGCCACCCAGGCGCCCCAGCACTGTTAACTTCTAATCCATCTAAAGCATTACAGAGATTTAGGATATTATCCATATTATCCTTGTTTTATAGAAAAACATGAAGATGAAAGAGGTGGCAGGGTTGGGGGACTAAATCTAGAACTGACCAAATTCATGGCCACACTACCATCTTGTTACTCACTCCAGATTTTTTCCAGGCCTATTCTTTGTACCACTTTGATCATTCATCTGCCAGTGCTATTTATTGATTAGTGTCATCTCTGAGACATTAGCCCAGATTTCAGCACATGGCATCAGATGTGGTCTGCCAGCAAAGGGTATCATGGGAAGGTTATATTACTTGTGATCTTTAAAAAAAAAAGATTTTATTATTTATTTGAGAGAGAGAGAGAGCAAGTACAGAAGCAGGGGGAGGGGCAGAGGGGAAGAGAGAAGCAGACTCCCTGCTGAGCAGGGAGCCTGACATAGGGCTCCATCCCAGGACCCTGGGACTGTGACCTGAGCTGAAGGCAGACACTTAACCGTCTGAGCCACCCAGGCAGCACTACATGTGATCTCAAATGAGCACTGTTTTAAAAAAAGATTTTATTTATTTTTGTTTTTTGAGAGAGAGCGAGCACAAGGGGTGGAGGGGGCAGAGGAAGAGGGAGAAGCAGACTACCCACTGAGCAGGGAGCCCGATGCAGTGGTCAGTCCTGGGACCCCAGGATCATGACCTGAGCCAAAGGCAGACGATTAATAAACTGAGCCACTCAGGCACCCCTTAAATGAGCACATCTTTAAATATGACCCATGATTAAGTTTTCTAGTAAGTAAACCTAGTAGTATGTTAGCTTATGTTAAGCTTGTGTTCATATAAAATTTCATAGATTCACCGATTGGCTTGCTTGCTTTAAACAAAAAACCTTTCAAAATATCAGCTCTTAAATTTTTGTAGTCCAGCTTTTATAAAATGTACAACCTGTAGTTTATCTTGTATAAATTTCATCAGCTGTTTCAGTTCCTGAGAATTTTGAACCTTTATTCTGCTATCAATTTTTTAGTCATAGGTGATTGGCAGCTTTGATAGCAGAGCTTCTCCATCTCCATCAGGCAATCCCAAGAAAGAGAGTACTAAGCCAGTTTTCCAAAGTCTAGCTTTCATGTTGATACCTAGCCTAATTATCCTGGAATATTTTATGAAATACCATTTGAGATTCATCTTGATATTTCTATAACAAAAAGTTGAAATATATGTCATAGACAATGAGGGAGAGACCGGAATTTCATTTTGTAAATATGCCAGGTTAGATCATACATTTTGTTGGATGTTCAAGATTTTAGTACTATTGCGTGAATATCCTTTAAGCCACTAAATGTTTTGGGGGAGGTCTCCCCTTTCCCCAAGCCAGATGTTTGTATTTCTGCTTTTTATCTTAATCCTTAAATCATATAGTGATATAATTTACTGTCTTTAATTGTGGAGGTCGGGTTTTAGTATCTTTTCCTGACTACTAAATGTATTTCCTCCCCATCTATAGGATATTGAAGTCCTTTGAGAAACTATGAAGTCTTTCACTTCAGTCATGTAAAATGAAACTGCTTTAACCTACTTATTCATTTACCATTTAATCTGTATGAGACAGTTCATATATGTGTAGCTATTTCCCCAACTAGTTACATAGTCATGGGTAAATGTGCCCTTTTCCTCATCTGCTAAGTTGCGGGATTAAATGGACTTTAAGACTGGTTTTTTACTCTAACATTCCATAATTCTGTGAGGTCCTTTTAGTTGAAGGTAGGATTTCTTGGACTTGTGAGTGAATAGCCAGCAGGTAACGCATGTTTTCCTGTCATAGGCACTACCAAGATATTTGATAAACCAAGGAAGCGAAAACGACAGAGGCATGCTACAGCCAAGGTGCACTGTAAAAAAATGAAAAATGACGACTCATCAAAAGAAACTCCAACCTCAGAGGTATTACTCAGTTCCTCATCTTTTGACCTTCCAAAGAAAATCTACTTTTCACAGTAGAGGCCACACCCCTCTTTCCCTTGAGCTTACTTAAGAATAATGTTTTACTGAAACTAGCTAATAATAGCTGTAAGAAGACATATATGGCAACTATGGGTATGATCTTTTTAAAAGATCAGATCCTGTGCTCTAGGTATCTGATAAATTTCGTAACTTTCATCACGAAGTAAGCTTTTTCTAAAACCAAAGCACAATACCAAGTAACCATATGATCCGAATGAACTTGGGTATTGCCCTTTAAAAGTTGAGACTGCTACAATTAGAAGGGAAACTCATTTGCTTATTTCTTGACACCATCAACTGCTTAATTTTAGACTAATGTTTGTAAACATTGGCTTTAAGGAAACAAAAAACAAAGGTAGATTTAAAACCATTTCCTTGTAGAGCATCAGTGCAGTCATTGATGCTATCTCTGGCTTTTCAACTCAGGTTAAAAGAGAATTAGAACAAGTGAGGTCAGCTTTACACATTATGATACAGAGTGTTTCTTTCCAGGATAATTTGAATAGAATGCCCAAGGGGGGCATTATTTAGGAAACACTGATCTTGGAAGGACAAATAAGTAATCAAATAAACTTAAGAATGTTTTCTCTCCCTTAGTGAAACCTTAAAATGGAACAGCTCAAAAAGTTCCAGTGGAACAGCCTCAGAGCAGTTAGTGGCAGGGCATGAGGCGCCCACTACCCGCCCAATCACAGCAGGGTTAGAACTAACATTGCATGCAGTCCGCCCGCGTGATTGGCTGAACATCTGTAAGTGCTTAATGGCTAGACAAATAGCAGCCCAGAGGGAGGGGGTCAGATGGAGGAGACATCAATAATACAGATGTGGGACATTATTTTTTCTCTGCAAGGGAGAACTGATGACACACAGAACGGCTGCAAGCCCTAAGGAGACTGTTGAGGAGGGTGTAGAGAATGATCATGGGATGCCGGCATCTAAAAAGCTGCAGGGCGAACGAGGCGGAGGAGCTGCACTCAAGGAGAATGTTTGTCAGGTAGAGGATGTTGCCCACTTGGATTTTGATTGCTTGCATGTCTTTTAAGAGAAGCCCTCTCCATCTTTTGATAACCCAGTCATGGTTAGAATAAACATTTTCCTGGATGATTCCAGTAGAGTCACTTCCCTTTAAGGATTTAAGTCTTACCCCTTTTTACAAAAAGAGAAAGGAAAAGAAATATTTAGTGTTGGTCAATCACTTGCCCTTGTTACCCATGAGTAGATGCCATGAAGCCGGTCTGAGATGGGAGAAGGTGAATCTGGTGATTGCTTAAAGATCATTTTCCTGTATGTTTCATGGTGTGAGAATTTCTGGGTTTCTAAGGAATGCTGCAAGGGAAATTTTCACTTTAAGATTTCTTTTTAAAGTAGTGACTTTAGAGAATCTACCACCTGCCTTTTTATATTTATTTAATAAGTATTTATACAGTGTTTACTGTGTGTCAAGAGTTTCCATCACTTTGTAAATATTCCGGGGGCGCCTGGGTTAGGCAGCCGACTCTTGATTTCGGCCCAGGTCATGATCTCAGAGTTGTGAGATCGAGGCCCACATCAGGCTTAAGATTCTCTCTCCCTCCCCACCTCCAGAAAAATAAATAAATTTAAAAAATAAATAAAAATAAAACTTATAAATATTAAGTCATTTAGTCATAACAGTCTTGTAAAGTAGATTACCATTATTGTCCTCATTTTTATAGATGAGGAAACTGAGGCATAGAGATGTTACATAACTTGCTTATAGTCACACAGCAAAGCCAGGATTCAAACTCAAGCAGTCTGAGTTTAGAGCTAATCACTATGTTGTGTTGCCTCTCTGTAAAAAGCCTTTATCAGACTTGGGAGTAGAGTCAATTAAATGGATGCTTTGGTTATGTTCTCTTTTTTATGGGCTTGATTTACCTTTGTAAATTCTTAAAAGCTGGCCTGTAACAAGTTGAAGATAATTAGTTTTTTTTTCTTTTTTTTTATTGAAACAGCTAAAAAACAAAAGTTAACCCAAGCCCAGAATATGTTATGATAAACAATAGAATTTCAACTCAGTTTCTTTGTTTTTTCATTTTCACTATTATATAAATAAAGTTGATCATATTCAGATCAGCACCCACACACAGTGTTTGTCCTTAAAGACTATATGGCCACAAAGATTATCAACAAAAAATGGTTAAAGGGATAGTTGCATTGTGGTCCTGGATTGTTTGGATCACTCTTTGTTTATCTGTTGTCCTTGTTTAATTTATTAATACCGTGTCCTTTCACTCACATGGTTACCATTTTGAAAGATGAAATTACATGGTCATCCCTGTTAAAGGGTTAGTCCGTAACATTTGCTTAACTTGAAAACATTCTTTGATATATACTGTAATTGAAGTTTTCCTGTTTAAATGGTGATGGCGAATTTGTTTATTGTACATGAAAGCTGGTATCACTGGCACTGTGAATATACAAAAGAAAGTAGGTAATATTTATGGCATTTGTCAATTTTTATCTGTGAATAGGGGATAATGGAAGAGCCAAAGTGTAAGACTAATTTACACTATAGGTTAAGACTTTGGGGTCTGTCTGTTCTTTATCCCTGGCTGCCTCTGGCATTTTTTCCCAAAGCTCTCCTACTCATTTGTTTATTTAAGGTTTGATGTTAAGTGGCCAAGACCTGTTGTTTCTTTGGGTTCTTGAAGATATTAGACTTACCTAGTCGCCTTCCCTCTTTCTTGTCTTCCACAATAAGACTCTTTTTCATTTTTAGTATTTTCCTGCTAATCACTATGGGGAAACGTCAGGATGTTAGAGGGATGAAAGTAACAAATGTTGGGAATTTGCAGAATTTTCATAAATCTTATGTTTTGAAAGCAGCAGACCCAGATCTTCATTTCCTAACGCCTTATTATAAATGACACCCTGTCTTAGATGAGATCATCTCAAAGGTTACCTCTCTGAGATGGTTGTAGATGTAACTCAGACATTGTTCAAATCTTGATTAGAGCCCTTTTGAGACTGTTAACAACCCAAGTCTAGCTAACCAGTATCTCTTGCTTGAACTATTACAATAGCCTTCTTGATTGTCTCTTTGCTACTATTCTCACCTGTCTCATTCTTGAACTCATTTTCCATGTAGTAATCAGAGGAATCTGCTTTTAAATATCTCACTTTAGCCTTCCCTTGTTAAAGACTTCTAATGGCACACCTCTGTAATTAGAATAAAATCTGAAACTGTAGCATAATGTGTAAGGCCACACAATCAGGCTGTTGCCTTTTTCTTACCTCATCTTCTACCACTTCTAACTTTTGTTCATTTTAGTCCACTGACTTTCCTTATGATTCTCAGACCTGACATAGTTTTTCCTATCTGTGGACTTTCTGTATTTGTCTTCCTGGTCTTTCTGTCAGATCACGTGACTGACTTGGAGTTCAGAACTCCATCTGAGAGGCCATTCCCAATCACCCAATCCAAAGTAGCTGTTTGAATTCTCTACTTAATGCTTATCATTATCTGATATCTTTCCTGTTTGTTTACTTGTATTTTCAATTCTTAGAATATATGAATCATGAGAGCCAGGGACTTTGTGGAACCTGGCATAGAGGAGTTAATCATTAAATATTGGCTGAATAAATGGTGAGCTTTCTTCTTTCTGGAAAGCTGCTGCTTAATCTTTGCCTTCATGAAGGCCTTCTGCTTGGGACTTTAAAAATCCTTCTCTATAGACATACCTGTTTTCTTTCTCTTAACAGAACTGTGAGAAACTGGGTGAGCTGCTGTTATGTGAGGCTCAGTGCTGTGGGGCTTTCCACCTGGAGTGCCTTGGATTAACTGAGATGCCAAGAGGAAAATTTATCTGCAATGAATGTCGCACAGGTGAAGTAGATATAGATGGGGTTTTCTTCCAAAGATGTTTTGAGTTTTAAGTTTTTCGGGAAAAATTCCCAGCATTTATTGCAGACACTTTTTATGGCAATACTGGGCTAGTTGGTACAGACACAGATAGGTGCTGTGTGATCTTTGCCTGTAGAAAAGAATACCAAGTGAATAATGAATGGATAGTATAATATAGTGCAGAAGGATTGTAGTAGAGATAGATTTATAGTGATAAGTGAACAAAGATGAGCCAGTTCCACAGAGGAAGATAACTGAATTTGTCTTTAAAAGAGGCGTGGAAATTGGTGTGGGGAGGCGAAGGACAAGAAGGTCCAGTAATGAAAGTATTGAATATTGGGGAAATAGGAGGCATAGGTTAATGTGTTTAGAGTTTAAGATGCTTTAGGGAAGAGATATTGGTAGTGACAAGGAGGGTTTCTGGATTACTGGTGATGTTTTATATTTCTTGAGTGGTGATTACATAAGCGTGTTTTCTTTATTTGTGAACTGTACACTTAGGATGCTGTACTTTTCTGTGTGTATATCATACGTGAACAAAACTGTTTACCAAAAAAGGAAAGACGTATTCTGAGAGTTATATAGATTGGCTCAGAAACTAAGAATGGTCAGATGTAACCACCTGTAAAGTCCCTCACAGGCTATGCTAAGGAGATTGTTCTTTCTTCAGCATTATATGTGAATGTTACAGCATTTAAGTAGTAAGAAAAAATGGGGGCTAAAAGCTGTTACACTCCTAAGTCATTAAAACCGCAGATGTGAATGAACCTGCCCAAGGAGAAAGCATCTGGAGAGGGAGAAAAGGACCAACAAAAGTACTCAGGGGGTGCCCACAAAAAAAAAAAAAACAAAACACTGGAGGGTGAGGAGGAGCTAGTCAAAGAATATCTGTGAAGCCAGGGAGAGTGGGGTGTCATGAGCAGGGGCATATGTGGCAAAGAGACCAAGGAGGTTCTGGGGTGATAAGAGGCTGTTATATTTAGCAGTGAGAAAAGGCTTGACTTTTTGCCAGAGGGTGCCACACTAAACCTGGTTGAAGGGCAAATGGATAGCAGTATACACTACATCTTAAAAAAGCTTGCTATCCATGGAAAAAGAGGGCAATAGCTGAAGGGAGGATATTATAGGGTCAAGAGGAAGAACATCTTGAGTGTTTGTAGGATGAATGTTAAGAACCACATAGGGAAATAAATTCCTGCAACAGGAGAGGGAATAATTAGTGGAGTATAGCTACAAAGTGACAGGAGAGAATAATCTTGGAGAGAGGAAAAGATAAAAGAGGAATATACCTTGGAGTTGGGAGGCAGAATAAAGAAGCCAATGTTTTTTCTTAGTTTGATGAGAATGATGGGGGAAAGGTGGTTTCTAACTTGAAGGTAGAGTATAGGTTTAGAGTAGCCCCTGTGGGAACAAGAGACAGAATTAACTTGTATCTGTAAATCAGTGGCTGTGTCATATTGAAGTTATCTCCTCTTTCTGCCACTACTTTTAGCAATGTGGGAATAAAAGCTGGAAGACAAGATTGTTGGGTTATTTTGCCTCCTGCACAGTGGGCTTTTGATCATTATGGGAAATAGTGCCATCCAGCCCTATAAATGAAATTTAGGAAAAAAAAATTTAGGTATGTGCATATCTCTTATCCTAACCTTAGAAAGATCTTGCCTTTTGTACAGATAATCCAGTTTTGCTAGTCTTATCTTTATTATAATGTGATATTCTCTGAACAAGTTAAGGCAAAGGTATTTTTTAAAGAATTAACCCTACTGAAGTATAATTTACCTACTATAAAATGCACTAGTTTTAATGTATGTTTTGATAGGTTTTGATAAAATTTATAAACACCTATGTAACCACAAACATTATGAAGATTCAGAACATTTCCATCACTCCAGAAAGTTCCCTTGTACTTAGTCCCAGTTGATCCTTATGCCCCCTCATTTCCCCCTCCTCCAATCCCAATCCTATTTCAGGCAAACAATGATCTGCTTTCTGTAACTACACATTAGATTTATCTTTTTTAAGAGTTTCATATAAGTGGAACAAAATGTATGTAGTTTTTTGTGTCTAGCTCGGTGTAGTGTTTTTGACACTCATCTGTGTTAATGTGTGTATCAGTAGTTCATTCTCTTTCTTAAAACAGCTTTCCTGAGGTATAGTTGATGTGCAGTAAACTGCACAAAGTATAGTTTGGTAAGTTCTGACATACATATGTGTGTGTACATACACCTGTGAAACCATCCCTCAGCATAGTTAATTTGAGATTCAACAACATTGTTGTAGGTATTGAGAGTTCATTCCTTTTTATTGCTGGGTAGTATTCCATTGTATGGATGTATCACAGTTGGTGATACATATTCATTCATCTATTGATGTACATTTGGGTTGTTCTTAGGTTGGGGTATTACTAATAAAGCTGCTGTGAACATTCATGTCTTTGTATGGTTACATTTTCTTTTTACTTCTGTAAATACCTAAGGGCAGAATGGCATGGTAGGTATATGTTTAACTTTTTAAGAAACTTCCGAAGTGTTTGTACACATTTTACATTCTCATCAGTAATGTATGAGAGTTTCAGTTCTTCCACATCTTCATCAACACTTGGTATTGTCAGTCTTTTTAATTTTAGTCATTTGGACAGATGTGTAGTTGTATCTCATTGTGGTTTTAATGTGCCTTTTCCTAATGACAAATGATGTTGTGCATCTTTTTAATGTGCTTTTTTGCCGTGTTCCTTGATGAAGTATCTGTTCAAATCTTTTTTTTTTTTTAATTAGGTTGTTTATTTTCTTACTGTTGAGTTTTAAGAGTTCATTATATATATTCTGGATACAAGTTATTTATCAGATACATACTTTTAAAATTATCCTACCAAACTGTGGGTTGGTTTTTCATTTTCTTGAGTCTTTTGAAGAGCAGTTTTTTAGTTGTAATGATGTTGTTTATCAGTTAGTTCTCTTTAGAGATTTTCCTTTGGTGTCATATTGAAGAAATCTTGTATAACCCAATGTCACAAAACTTTTGTTTTCTAATGAAAATTTTATAGTTTTTGGTTTCAGCTTTATGTCTAAGGCCTATTTTGAATTGATTTTTATATATGACGTGAGGTAGAGTTCTTATTTTTGAGGGTAGGAAATTTTACCCTAGTTTTAGTCAAGATGAATAGAGTAAGAATAAAGGAATCATTTCTTTTTTCTTGTGGCTCACCCTATTTTCCTAATGTGGAGTGACCACACCATAATTTAGGTTATTCCAGTTTAGTATTGGCATCAGGCAGTAAATAGTTTGCTTATTTCCGAATGCATAATTAAAATTTTTTCTTAAAATCATTATTAGCTGGGTGATCTTACGGTTCATAGGTGTGGTGGGTTATTTTAATGAATTCCTGTTTCCAGCAAGTGTTGGGGGCAAGATTCATGTTCGGGTCTGTCTCTCAAGCCTGGGCTCTTTCCCTTATTTTGTATTGCTTCTCAGAGAGAGGTAGTTTTTTTTTTCTTTTTTAATTTCCCTTTTCTTAAACTTTGTATTATAGAAATCCTCAGACATTTACAAAAGTAGAACAGTATAAAATAACCCTATGTATTCATTGTTTAGCTTCAGTAGTTATCAGTTTTCTGCCTCTGTTTACCCATATATTTCTTTTTATTTTTCATTTGTTTCAGGGGTACAGGTCTGTGATTCATCAGTCTTTTTTAATACCCAGTGCTTTACCCATATATTTTAAAAGGTCTAACACAACTTAAAAAAATATATCTAATGTGTAGCAAAATTATACAGTAACTTCTGTGTGTCACCTACTGCCCAGTCCCATTTTCAAATTTTCCCGTATGTCTCAAAGATGTCTTCTTACAGTATTTTAATCAAGATCCAACTAAGACTGCCTTTATTGTATTTTTTGATATGTCTCTTAAATTTCTTTTAATCTACAACAGTACATCCTCTTCCTATTTTTTAATGTCATTTATTTGTTAAGACAATGGTCATTTGTCCTGCTAAATTTTCCGCATTGCATATTTGATTGATTGCATCTTTCAGGTGTCCTTAACTTGTTCCTCTATCTTCCATATTTCCTGGAAACATGTAGTTAGATCTAGAGGCTGGATTAATTTCAGGTCAGTTTTCTTTTGGCAGTAATGCTTTGTAGGTAATGTGTACTTTCTATTGCATCACATCAGCAAGCATGTATTATCAAGAGTTTCTCACTTAATGATCTTAATTAAGATTGTTCAGTAGGTTCATGTTATCAGCCTGATAAGTCTATTACAAAGTTCTTTACTGTGATAAAACATACATATTTTGGTCTTTAGCTTGTGGCACAGAGCTCCCAAAACCTTGGCCTCTCCTAAGTGGTGAGAGTGATAAAGATGTCCTTTTTGTGTGTTTTATTATGTTAATAAAAGACACACCTGAGGATGGGGGCTTGATTGCCAGGAGAACCAACCTTATGATTAGAGGGCTAGAACTCTCACTCCTATCCCCCTAATCTCTAGGGAGGGGAGGGGGCTGGAGGTTAGGTCAATCCCCAGTGGCCAATGGTTTAATCAGCCTATGCAATGAAGTCTCCATCAAAACCCAAAAGGATGGGTTTCGGAAGCTTCTGGATTGGTAGGTATGTGGAGATTCAGAATAAAGTGGTGCTCTTGAAGAGGGCACGGAAGCTCTACACCCTTTCCTCATACCTTGCCCTATGCATCTCTTCCATGTAGCTATTCATGAGTATTATCTTTTCATGATAAACTGGTGATTCAGTAAATAAAATGTTTCTCTGAGTTCTATGAGCCATTATAGCAAATTAAACCCAAGGAAGTGGGGGTTGTAGGAACCTCTGATTTATAGCCAGTCAGAAGTATAGGTGACAACCTGGACTTGATTGAGACTGGCATCTGAAGTTGGGGGCAAGGACCCATCTTGTAGAATTGAGTCCTTAACCTGTGGGATATGATGTTACCTCCACGTAGATAGTTTCAGAATTGAGTTGAATTGTAAGACAGCTGGTGTTGGAGAATTGCTTGGTGGTACGGAGCACCCCCCCCCCCATATTGGAACTTGGTACAGAATTGTGTACTTAATAAACTTTTCATCTAATGGTTTAGCATTGGATGATTTCTTGAATTGGTGTTAATTTTATTACCTTCCTTTTGTTTACCAGGAATCCATACCTGTTTTGTTTGTAAGCAGAGTGGAGAAGATGTTAAAAGGTGCCTTTTGCCCTTGTGTGGAAAGTTTTACCATGAAGAATGTGTCCAGAAGTATCCACCCACTGTCATGCAGAACAAGGGCTTCCGGTGCTCCCTCCACATCTGTATAACCTGCCATGCTGCTAATCCAGCCAGTGTTTCTGCATCTAAAGGTATGGGTTTCTCACATGGACTGGTCTAATTGTAGAACCTTGGTGTCATTGGTGTATTTCCAGATGCGATGTGGCGTATCTCTTCATGGCCTCTCTAGCTTTTGTCAGAGTACCAGCATTTTATGTGAGAGAGAAGAAAATAATGGACCAGTCCAACAGTTCCCACATTGTATTTTATGGAGCCCTATTGTTATGTGGTGGCTTCAAATATTTGGATTTCACGTGATATTTAGTTTGAGAAAGTGTTCTGCTGTAGGTCTTCCTCTCCCTACTCCATTAGACCAAAATACATTCTTTTCCTGTGGACCCTTTATCTCTGTGGTTGTCAGATGTGATATTATTCAGGTATGAATTTAGGGCAGAATTTAGGTTTTTGTTTTGTGTTGATTTGTTTTGTTTTTTAAATTGGAAACTTCTATCCTGACACCTCTTTCCTGCTTTATAGAGAGCTGAGGTTTCCAAAAGTATGTCCAGAGAGTCCCTACTTCTCCCATAAGGGATTGAGCAGGAAACATTTACCAGTGTTTTGCCTTTTCTTCTAATTAGACTGGCAGTACCTTTTGTAATATGATTTCCTTAGCCTATAGATCTCATCAGTCTTAAGTACAGTAATTTCACTTGCTTGATTAAAATTATAGTTTAACCATCGTTTATCTTCCCCTTTTCAGTGGCTATTGTAGATTGCATTTAGGTGGTTTGGTAATGGCTTTTAGTAGGTGATGTATATTAGAGGACATATTTTATCTGGAAGGGGTGGAAAGTTTCATTCACCTAAAAATTCAGGCTTTAAGAATCAGTACCAGGCAATGAAAGCAAGCATTAGTCTTTCTCCTAGCTGCCTTTTTATTCTGATTGTGAACATCCCCCCTATTTAGTTTGGGGCTGATGGCCAGGTTTCCTAGAAGTCAGGGCAGTGGATTGAATAGGGCTTTCCTTGGTGAGGCAGGCTCACTTAACAGTTGTGGGATCTGACTCCTTTATGGCAGCTTATCGCATAGCTCCCATCTGAGCTTTTCATAGTGAATTGTGTGCTTTGTGATCCCTTGTCCTAGTAGTGCTTCCTTCTATTAGTGACATTTTCTCAGTGCTGACAAAGAGATTTCAAAACTCATGTTGCTTTTATGTTTTCTTTGTTTTTCTTTTACTACTGGTTTTCCTGCTTCTTGTAATTTTAGGTCGTCTGATGCGCTGTGTCCGCTGCCCTGTGGCATACCATGCCAATGACTTTTGCCTGGCTGCCGGGTCCAAGATTCTTGCATCTAATAGTATCATCTGCCCTAATCACTTTACACCTAGGCGGGGCTGCCGAAATCATGAGCACGTTAATGTTAGCTGGTGTTTCGTATGCTCAGAAGGTAAGACATGACTGCTTAATATATGAATAGTCTAAAAAGAGATTAATACAATATTCTAATTGCAACAAAAATTATTTTCTTCACGTTGTTACTAGAGAAATATTAGGAAGTAATGTCCTGAATTAATGATAACATAGCAAACGTTTAAACTTGTTTTTTTTTCCCCAATAGGGAGAGGTTTTATTTTATTATTTTGAATGATGACCTTATTTTTATTAAAATGATGAACAAATGAAGGGTACCTGGGTGGCATAGTCATTTGAGCATCTGACTATTGGTTTTGGCTCAGGTTGTGATCTTAGGGTAGTGGGATCGAGCCGAGCCCTGCCTTGGGCTCAGCACTTAACACGGAGTCTGCTTGAGCTTCTCTCTCCGTCTGCCCATTCCCCTATCCCCTACTTCTCGCGTGCATGCATGTGTACACACACACTCTCTTGAATAAATAAACAGATGTTTAAAAAAATAAATAATAAACAAATGAAACAATAAAGAAAAAGACATGGGAAAGGAAACAAAATCACCCTTGGAAAATGGGAGAATATGATCAAAAAAGAGTACAAACTTCCAGTTAGAAGATGAGTAAGTTTGGGGGACTTAATGTACAGCATGGGAACTGTAGTTAACAATACTGTATTGTATATTTGCAAGCTGCTAAAGAGAGTAGATCTTAAAAATTCTCACTACCACAAAAAAAAAAAAAAATTGTAACTATGTGAGGTGTTGGATGTGTTACCGAAACTTATTTCAGCAATCATTTCACAGTATGTACATATATCTAGTCATTCTGTTGTACACTTTAACGTTACACAATGTTATAGTTATATCTTAATAAAGCTGAGGGGGGAAGGAAAGATAAACTGGAGGGAGGAAATCAATCTAAATCGGAGGGAGGGTGGGAGGAAATAAATAAATAAATAATCCTAAATTGTCCCAAGTCCCACCATCAGAAAAAACCATTGCTTAAATTTAAGTGATACTACTTAAGACATTTGTGCACATACCCAGATAGCAGGGGTAGATACCTAGATAGAAACAGTTCTAGAAGATGGTATTAATATTGTACAATTGTGTGTCTTTTTTGTTAAATCATTTATTCATGAATTTAAAGGGTGAAACAAAGGGAAAGTGAAGGAATTTATGAATGTCTGTAAAATGTTTCCTCACTGTTAAGGATATTAATTCCTAGAAGTTCTTCTAAAGTGGAGGAAAAATAAATTTTATATCTTTTTTTTCTTTCAACTTAAAACATCTCCTTTAGAATAGTCAGTGTTGTGCTTCTTACATACTTTTACCATTTTTCACAGCCTCATTTTTGCTAGTTATTATAAGTGGATGATTTAGTAATCATCACTAGTCTATTTACTGTGGTGCTTTTATAGTTCTCATTTCCTTATTTTAATTTTTTCTGTGGTGGGCTTAACTTCCAGGAAGCACCCACAGGTGCTATAATCCTCTGCTTGAGGCTATTTGACATTTGCCCTCTATACCATAAGCCTGTGTTGGTTTGCTATAAAACTTGTAAGCTACATGTTTTATTTCTAAGACTGTTGTGGACATTGCTTCACTATTTTTTTCTGATGTTAAGGGTGGCACCAGTTCTCTTACCTAGTTTCTTCATTACTTTTCAAATTGACAAAATTTTGTTGATTAGTAATTTGGGGGGGGAACAATTTCTCTCACTTTTCTGTTTTTGAATACTGGTAATGCAATTTCATGAAAACTTGGCTGGTTTTGAACATTTTGAGGGACTGATGTTTATTTATTTGAGAGAGAGCATGTGTGCGATTGGAGGAGAGGGAGAAGCTTAAGCAAGCTTCACACCCAGCTTGAGCCCAGTGTGGGGCTCAGTCTTACAACCCTGAGAGCATGAGCTGAGCTGAAATTGAGTCAGATGCTTAACCAACTGAGCCACCCAAGTGCCCTCTGAGGGACTCAATTGAAAAGTCAAAATGTGTAATTGAATGAGCATCCCTTTTGAGAAATTTGGATATACTAAATAGTGCTAAAGCCAAAAAAGTTTTTTTGACTGCTTTATGTGATTGAAAATGGTCAATTTGGAGTGTGTGTTCTTAGAAGATTTATGTAACATGACACTTTAAGGAAAAGTTATACTTAACTGACTAGAGATTTACACCAGGACATGGTTTGTATCCTCAAACTATGCTGCTAATATAGAATAAATAAAAAGCATGTTAAGTGCAGTTCTGTGGATAGAAAGGGAACCTTTGGTGTAGAGATGTTTTAATTCACAAAGTGGACATTTTTCTTTGTTCTTATAATACCTGCTTCGTATAACACAGTCTTGTGGTGGGTACTGCTGCCTCTTTATCGTACCACCCTTCTTTTGTTTAGAAGAAAGTTAGAGATAAGAGTTTTGGTATTCAACAGCATTTAAATATAACTTTCTATAATTCTGGTCTTAGACTAAAAACAGGTTTCTGGGAGGCTGAAGTGTAAGCTCCAAAAGTTTTCTACATTTCTTGGAGATGGGACGATGAGACAATTTCAGCATTAGACCTTTCTTTTTATTTTTTTAAGGAGAGAGATAGAGAATTTTATGGAGGTTCCATGCCCAGCATGGAGCCTGACGAGGGGCTTGATCTCATAACCCTGAGATTATGACCTGAGCCGAATTCCAGTCAGATGCTTAACTGACTGAGCCACCCAGGCGCCCCAGCATTAGACCGTTTCTAATTCCAGAGTGGGATGAAATGAATGAGATGGTTTAGAGTGAGGGTGCCCATAGCATTCCTGACATGGAGCATCCTAACTGAAAAGCTATTGAATCCAATAATGGATACTCATAATGATAACTTAGTCACCTGGAAAACTTAGTAGCTGCAGCAGCAGCCCTCAAAAGTGTGATCCATGATCCTTGGGCAGGGGTAAGGACCCAGAGGCCCTTTTAGGGGCTTCCATGAAATAACTCTTTTCATAAGAATAATAATAAGATATCACGTGCCTTTTATATTTGGTTGACATTTGCACTAATGGTTCAAAAACCAGTGGTGGGTAAAACTGCTGGCACCTAATACAAATCAAGGCATTGGCTCTAAAACGTACAAGTAGAATCAGTCATTGTATTCTGTATTACCACATGCTCTCAGTAAAAAAAAAAAAAAAGTTTCATATAAGACTGTTCTTGAATAACATTTATTAATTTTATTAAATCTCAACCGTCAAGTGAACATTGTTTTAATATTCTGTTAAAATAGAAGTACACTAAAGTAGATCTGTTGCATACTGAAGGTTATCTTAAGTTAAAGCACTCATGTAGTTGAGTGGCACCTGGGTGGTGCAGTTGGTTGAGTGTCCGATTCTTGGTTTCAGCTCAGATCATCATTTAGGGTTCATGAGATTGAGCCCTTGTGTTGAGCTCCCTGCTTTGGTGGGGAGTCCGCTTGGGATTCTCTCTCCCTGTCCCCTCCCCCTGCTGTGTCACACTTTTTCTCTTCCCCCCGCAAGTAAATAAATCTTCAAAAAAATATTTGCGGGCGCCTGGGTGGCTCAGTTGGTTAAGCGACTGCCTTCGGCTCAGGTCATGATCCTGGAGTCCCGGGATTGAGTCCCACATCAGGCTCCCTGCTCAGCAGGGAGTCTTCTTCTCCCTCTGACCCTCTTCCCTCTCGTGCTCTCTATCTCTCATTCTCTCTCTCTCTCAAATAAATAAATAAAATCTTTAAAAAAAATATTTGCAAAAATGTAAAACTTGTTAGCTCACTAACAGTTTTATTTTGGAAAATATAGTGTTTTTTTACAAAAATGTTATTTTTATTAACATAGATTTATTGTTATTTTTAAGTGAATTAATAAATATTTTATTAGATTTATTATTAATTTTTATGACCTGAGCCGAAATCCAGTCAGATGCTTAACCTGGATGCTCTAAATTTAGATTTATTATTAATTATTTTATTAGATTTAATAGATTGATTATTTTTAAGTGAATTAATATTTTAAATATTTCTTAGTTTTGGTTCCAGTTTAGTAAGTTTAATATTTTTAGCCTACATAAACAAAACTTCTTTGGGAATCTCCATCATTGTTCAAGAGTGTAAAGTTATCCTGAGTCCAGAAAGCCTGAGAACTGCTGGTCCTATTATCTAAGATTATCCTGCTATTAGACAACAGAGACAGAATAGAGCCTTATGACATTTTTGCCCGTGTAGGGAGAAAGCTGAAGGTGATCATTCAGAGTATTAGGATAATAATATGGTAAACTGCTAAATTGAAAGGAACAAGTTCCTGGAATTCAGCAATGTGTTTAATATTTATTTTCTCTTACCTCTTCCACAGAATGTCACTTTTTTCTCTTTTGCTTTCTTTTGATGGTTCATGTAGTTTTCCCTCTTCTGTCTTACTGTCCTTTCTCCTATACATCTCCCTTACTGCCACCAGATAAACTCTCCTGCCTACCTCCCATCCATTTACCCAGATTAATCCTATTGATTTCTTTTCTCATATTCTCTCTCAGCTCATATCATATTATGTCCTTCCCTGCAAAACTGTTTGCCACTATTTCCCCTCAGCTCTGTCCTTAACCTTTCTTCAGTGGGTATTCTTATATGCACATTTCTTTTCATGCTATATAACCTCCTTTTAAGGCCTAGTGCAAAGGCCTTGTTGAACATGAAATATTTCTAGTGTGTTATGAAAGCCAGCTTACTAAAAGGAAGATTTTTCTACCAAGTCCATGTAGTTGGCATACTACACGGTTAATCAGATTGTGACTTAGCAGATACTTAACATAAATAGGAAATGTTCTAGAAGGTGTTATTGGGGCAGGTAAATTATGTCACTCTACATCACTCTTATGTCCCTTGCTAAGATTGTTCGACTCATCCTACGAAATGCACAAGCATAGCTAAATATGAGTTTCAGAGCAGAGAGTACAGGCTATATGTATTGAGTAAACAAGTTCTTCAAACTTGTTGTAGCAACAGACTTTTTTCCAAATGAAATATCACTGAATCAAGCTTCAGTATACAACAGAGATAAAAGGAGAGCTTCTCTAATTGAAAAGGAGTTGGGTCTTAAGCACACAGTCCTGGCCCCAAGAAAATAAACACCCCAGAGCTTATTTTAAGAGCTTGCTGCAGATGATTGAGAAAAGGAAAAAGCCTGGATAGGATGGTGTCACAGAATCTAAGTTTTTTATAGGATATTACGAGGCAAAAGGGGCACAGTAAAACTCAGATGATGTGGACGTATACTTTGCTAAGGCTTTATGCCCCACTAACTTCAGGATGAGATTTGGAGTTACATGCTTGAGTCTAGCATGTTTGAAACACGCTCATTTCTGGCATAAGATAATAGGGTATTTTTGATGGCTGCATAATATTCCTATATATATATGTACATACATATATATATACACACATACATACATACATACACAGACACACCACATCTTCTTTATCCATTCATCTGTTGATGGACATCTTGGCTCTTTCCATAGTTTGGCTATTGTGGACATTGCTGCTATAAACATTGGGGTGCACGTACCCCTTCGGATCGCTACATTTGTATCTTTGGGGTAAATATCCAGTAGTGCAATTGCTGGGTCGTAGGGTAGCTCTATTTTCAACTGTTTGAGGAACCTCCATACTGTTTTCCAGAAATCTTGCCATTTGCAACGACATGGATGGAACTAGAGGGTATTGTGCTAAGTGAAATAAGTCAATCAGAGAAAGACATGTATCATATGATCTCACTGATATGAGGAATTCTTAATCTCAGGAAACAAACTGAGGGTTGCTGGAGTGGTGGGGAATGGGAGGGATGGGGGAGGCTGGGTGATAGACATTGGGGAGGGTATGTGCTATGGTGAGCGCTGTGAATTGTGTAAGACTGATGAGTCACAGACCTGTACCTCTGAAAGAAATAATACATAATATGTTTTAAAAAAAAAGATGGTAGGAAGGGAAAAATGAAGGGGGCGAAATCGGAGGGAGAGATGAGCCATGAGAGACTATGGACTCTGAGAAACAAACTGAGGGTTCTAGAGGGGAGGATGGTGGGGGGATGGGTTAGCCTGGTGATGGGTATTAAAGAGGGCATGTATTGAATGGAGCACTCGGTGTTATACGCAATGAATCATGGAACACTACATCAAAAACTAATGATGTATGGTGATTAACATAACATAATAAAATAAAATTTAGAAAAGATAATAGGGTATTTATTATATTCCTTAAATATGAATCCTCTTTATCTGAAATTTTTTATAGTCTGAAACTATGAGGATTTCAGCCTCAGATACATAAACTGAATTACTCTGAAAATCTTTAGGAAGTGAAAATTCATTGTAATTGCAGTATATGTAATTATCCTGGTGTCTGAAAACCTCAGTGAAGAAGGGGAGAACATTTATTTAACTAAGTTTAGGCAATAAACCACATTAGTACCTATGATTTTTGTCACCAGTGAAAATCACAGATATTTCAGTTGTAGATATCTTAAAATATTTTGCAATCATTGTTACTGCTAGATCTTATGTATTACAAAGAAACATATGTAACTCTAATCTCTTATTTTAACATTTAATAATTATACCTTAATGTAACAGTGTCCTTTTAATTTATGTGTTAGGTTAATGTTTATAAATGTTATTCTGAAAAGAGCCCATAGGTGTCAGAGTGCCAAACATAAAAAAGATAAAAGAGTAATTTAAAAAGGGGAAAGGAACTGACCATATGGGGACTACTTATGTGTTAAACATTACTGTGCCATTTATTCACTGTGTAGTCTTCAAATAGATGTGATTATTTACTGTTCGCTGTGGAAAATTTAGCGTATTGTCTTTTAGTGAAGAGAAAGAAATGTGTATATGCCCATACTTGACTTTGAGCGGTTGACCTCTGACCTCACTGCCCTAACCTAATTTTGCCAATAGGACCTCATGTTTATTTGCTGTGAGTGTAACAAACCCTCAAGGTTGTGGTTCAGAGGGAATATTGGAGAGGGAATAAGTGCTCTTGTAGAAGTCTTTCTGAATAACTAAATTACTAAGCCCTTCGCTGGGAGATAAATAATTGGTTAGGAGCAAAAGCTGTTTCAGCTGGGTTATTATATGCAGTCTTGTGATTCTGAGTGCCAGATTTTTTGATTCCCACAGGAGGCAGCCTTCTGTGCTGTGATTCTTGCCCTGCTGCTTTTCATCGTGAATGCCTGAACATTGATATCCCTGAAGGAAACTGGTATTGCAATGATTGTAAGGCAGGCAAAAAGCCACATTACAGGGAAATTGTCTGGGTAAAAGTTGGACGATACAGGTGAGTGAGCATGAAGGAAATTGGCACTGACTTCTTTTACCATCCCATCCTCTGTTTCTTGGGATCTCAGATACAGTGCTTAACTCTTTTTCTTTTCTTTTCTTTTTTTTCTTTTCCTTCCTTCCTTCCTTCATAATTTTTCTGATTAAGCAAGGTCCACCCTTCTCCCCATTAATTTTCCATTACAAAAGAAAAAAACTAATTTTTATGTTTTGTGATTATAGGAATAATACATATTCCCTGTAGAGAATTCATTAATGAAAATAAAATCCATAACAAACAAGAAAGATACATTGCTAACAGTTTGGAGTATTTTCTTAGAGACACACCAATGCATGTACCCTCAAAATAATTGGCCTTATATTTTATACTCAGTTTTGTGTCTTTTCCTTTTTAAAATTATTTTTATTAAACATGGAACATACAAAAGAATATCATAACATGCGTGATTTAAAAGAATCAGAAAGGAATATCTGTGTATGTACCTCCCATTTAAAGAAAATAGCATATTTCTAGTACTTTTGAGACTCCCTCCATGACCCTTTCTGAATCCACTCTCTCCCCACCCCGAGAGGTAAGCACTATACTGCATTTTGTGTTTTTTATTCCTTTGCCTTGCTGTAATGGTTTACCACACGTATAATGTTTTGTTCTGCATGTTTTAGACCTTTTCATAAAGAAATTGTTGCTATATTTTCCTGCAACTTGCTTTTTTCATTTACTGTTAAGCTCCTGAGATTTAATAGTAGTTAGTGCAGTGCTCTAGTTCATACTTTGCTGTTCTACATTTCTTCTTGATATAGTCTTAACAAAACAGTGCAGTTCGTTTATCCATTCTCCTCTTTGGACTATGAGCATTTTGTCAGTGTTCCTTAGTGTACATGCACAGTTTTTCTAGGAATAGGGGTTTCCAGCTGAAATAGCTAATGCCAAATTGTCTTCCTAAAGTGGACGTAAAGCATTAATTTACATGCTTTTTATTTTCGGAGGCATTTCTTGGTGTCATTGTTCTATGCCCCTCACAATTATTGAAACTTTTCCTTTTTAAAGGCTAAATTATATTTCATTGTATCATATACTATAGGTACTTTAACGTTCCCTAAATGTTGGGCATTTCGATTGTTTCCAGGTTTTCATTCTTATAGATAATACTTCAGTGAACATTATAGTCAAAGCTTTGTTTATATCTTCTATGAGATAATTATTATTTACTGTTAAATTATTTCCTTTATAGATTCCTTAAAGTAAAATAACTGAGTCTAAAAAGTATATATGTGAGCACATCTGTGAGAATGGCCATTTTCAGGTTTTCAGCACATTCTACTTATTTGTTCTCTAGTTAGATTGTAAAAATTGACTAGGTTGGACTTTCATGTAGATAGACAGACATTGCTATTCCTTATTCCTGTCCTAAAAGGTAGGTCATTTTCTTAGTGTCTTGTAGTCTTCTAAAGGTTTCCTTCCTTGTTTTCACCTTTCCCAGGTGGTGGCCAGCTGAGATCTGCCATCCTCGAGCTGTACCTTCCAATATCGATAAGATGAGACATGATGTGGGCGAGTTCCCTGTGCTCTTCTTTGGGTCTAATGACTATCTCTGGACACATCAGGCCCGAGTCTTTCCCTATATGGAGGGGGATGTGAGCAGCAAGGATAAGATGGGCAAAGGCGTGGATGGGACATATAAAAAAGGTAACTTTATATTTTTGTTTCTCAGGCCAACACAGACCTCTGTTGCCCAAGTATCTATTCTGTTATGTGTTAGAATTCACATATGTTCCGTTAGCGGCTGTGTTCTCCTCTCTGCGGCAGCTATAGGATTTTACAGGAAAGTTGATCCACATAATTCATTATTTTTGAGCCTAGCCTTTATGTAACAGGAATTTCCTTGAGGGAGGTTTTTGTCTTACCAGTTCTGTTTTCTCAGCATCTTTTCAAGTACTGGAGCTTTGGAACTATTTTATAGCCTAAACCCTGTGGTTTGCTAGACAAGAGTCAGAAACTCTAATAGAGTTGTGTTTGTTCCAGGGAAGTTACAGAGAAGTAATAGAGCAAAATAAAATAGTGAAAGTCAAAGCATAAATGTTCTGAATCAAAAGAGATTTTTTTAAGCTGGCCTAGCAGTGAAGGAGTGGGGACATTTGGGTTAGAAGGAGTTGAGTCAACTATGAGCCTCAGTTTTCTCTTACTGTATAATGAGTAAAGGTTGCACTGGGAATTCAGTGAGGTAATAAAAATAACCAGCAGAGCACATAGTTGGTATCCGATCAATGATAATTATCTTCTGCCTTTAGCTGTCCTTTGAAAGGCAGTATAGGTATCTCTTATTATTCGAAGATATTTGGACATTGAAGTATATAGATTTTGTATGATGAGGTGGAGATTCTAAGCAGGTAAAACTTTCTCATAAGGTGAAGATTCAAAGAAAATTCTAAGCAGGTGAAACTTCCTGGATGGGGAGTGAGAATCATGTCCATAGGGAACAAGTTTCACAAAGGTTCCGTTTGCCTCATGTCATTTCAGTGGGTCCTCACTTACCTGTTGGCCATGTGATTTCTGTGTGGATATGGGTTATTAGTATTAACACTATAGGAGCTTGGCTCTTGAGTCTTGTAGTCTTGGATGGTCAGGGACCACTTGACCAACATCTTTGCCTGTGTAGAGCTGGCCACCACAGAGGCTGGGGGAGAAGGTAGAGTTGTAGGGACTACCACAAGTCTGAGTGTGCTGAAGCTCTGGGATTCTACTCTTCCTATGCCTCAACCCTGGGCTGGCGGGGTGCCTCTGCCTTCAAAGAATACATGTTTTTATGGGGGAATTGGACACAGATACAAGCAGTCAAAATGTTATTCATTGCGTGTTGTGGCAGAACTGTGCATGGTATGCTATGGGAACAGACCAAGAGGAAGCATAACTGTGCTGGGGATCAAAGTTTGGAAGTCATGGATTGGTTTTTTCCAAGTGATTTTTGAGGAGTGAACCTTAATAATAATCGTTATCATTTGTTGTTTGCCAGGCCCTGTTCAGTTTGTTTTCTGCTTTAAGTCCTTGTGGTAATAGTATTAGTTAGGTGTCATTATCCTTATCTTACAGATGAGGAAAGTGAGGCACATAAAAGTTAAATTACTTGCCCTAGGTGCCAGTGCCAGTAAGTAGAGGAAGGTTTCAAACTCTAGCATTCAGGCTCCAGAATCCACACTCTCTTCACCCCTACATTGACGGTGAAGAAGTTAACAAATGAAAATCTTAACAAGAAGATAGCGCATGTGAAAACATACGTTAAATCTAACATGTTGAGTGAATGACCTCTAGTTATGTGGTATAGTTTAATATGGGGTTGGGGGAACACCGGGCTGTTAGCCAGAAAAGGTGGTAGGTAAGTTACATGGTCAGAGCAGAATTTTTAGGAATCTTTGAGTTTTGGGACTATAGAAGGTGAGAGGCTATGGCCAGCGATGTCTGTGATGTGGCTGTTTTGGTAGTTCCAGGCAGAGATGACAAGATTGTGAAGTGAAGTGTCCCTGGGGTGGTGAGGATGATGGGTACTTGAATAGACATTAAGTAAACAGACTAGTCAGGACATGCTGAAAAATAGAATCAAGAAAGGAGTGATTATTTAAAACACACACACACACGACTCCAGAGAACAACACACACACACACACACACGACTCCAGAGAACAACACACACACACACGACTCCAGAGAACAACACACACACACACACACACACACGACTCCAGAGAACAACAACACAACACACACGACTCCAGAGAACAAAAGCTCTGTTAGATGTTTAACAGGGAAATGGAGAAAAGGGGATGGACCCTTTTCTTTAAAGAATTGACAGAATATGGGGAAAGCTACAGAGAGGAAAGAGGGGGAAGAATTGGAGTTCTTTTCAGAGTTTTTAATCTAGGTTACAAAGAACGAATTTTAAAAAAGAAGAATGGAAAGTTTGTTTTAAGTGGAAAAGAATGAGAATCTTAAGATTTTGTTGGACTTCTAAGATATGTACAGTCTTTTAAGCACATGAAAGTACAGGACTTGAATAAAATCAGCTATGAAGATCTATGTATCATTACAGCTAATAATTGATATTTACAGAATGAATCTTAGGAGAGGACTAGGACAGGTGCTCTTTAGAGAATTAGGCAAGAAGGAGAGGAAAACTTCAACTTTGAATTTCTTCCAGAGGAATGCAGCATGTTATTTGGCACCTAGGAGACAGAATGTTTCTGGAGGCAGGAGGTTCGGAACTGAGGAAGGAATTAGGCTTAATTAAGCACAGTGACTTTGCTGAACAGATACAGTCTTGTTGTTTTTGTTAGGAGATGTTATTTGTGGGCTTTTTCAAATCATTTAGCTGGATTTGTTTTGGTTTTGTTTTAAATTTTCCTCTGAAGTTGGTAGTCTATATTGTGCCATGTAGTGGTAGATTATGTTTTGTCTTAATGCTATATCTGAATACCCTGGGGACTATAAATTAACTTGAAAATAGCAGTAATATGTACTTCTTAGTTTTCTGTGTAGTGCTGGCTGATTTTTTTTTCAAGATTTGATTTATTTATTTATTTATTTGAGAGAGAGAGCACGAGTTGGGGTGAGGGGGGAGAGGGAGAAGCAGGCTCCCTGCTGAGTAGGGAGCCCGATATGGGGCTTGATCCCAAGACCCCAAGATCATGACCTAAGCTGGAGGCAGACACTTAAATGACTGAGCTACCCAGGAGCCCCAGTTGCTGGCTGATTGTTGTCTAAAACATGGATTTTCTCCAACTTTAAAGGGGAAAAAACGGCAAAATAAACAACTCCACCCAAGATTAAGTGACTTGTGCTGTGTGTTTTCTTAGCTCTTCAGGAAGCTGCAGCAAGGTTTGAGGAGTTAAAGGCCCAAAAAGAGCTAAGACAGCTGCAGGAAGACCGAAAGAATGACAAGAAGCCTCCGCCTTACAAACATATAAAGGTGAGAAAAAAACTCAGGAGACTCTCTCCAGGAGAGACCCTGTTATAGTATACTGTTTTCCTGCTGTGTTCATGAAGAGGTTTGGAAGCAGAAGCAGAGTTGCTTTTAGGTAGAGGTGTAAACTTGAAGGAAGATAAGAAAAAGTTCCAGAGCACCATTCCTAGCACATTGTCTACAGCTTCTATAAAGTCAGTTGTGTGTTGATAACTTTTTCTGTTGCCTTGGAAAGTCTTCTTATAGACGTGGACTGGATTAGAGTCTGTGCACAGGCAACATCTTGCAGTTTGAAGGGGACTCAAGAAGCATGATAAAAAATGATAAATAGCCCTTAGATAGTATGAATAATACACATGGTAAGTCTTCTTGGTAATGGCTGATACTAAAGATATTTTAGGTAACCAATATGATTAGGTTTCCCAAGGTCAGGAGAATTCATGTTATGTGTACCTAACCCCTAATGTGCCTAGTAAGAGAGTCTTCACCATTTATCATCTGGGTGCAACGGACCCTTTGTATTTTTCAATGTTTTAAATCATTTTTATGAATAATTTATAGAAGTAAAAATACAGGAATAATGAAGAACAAATTTTTTAGACATTTTAGTAAGTATTTACTAAAACCTCTCTTTAAAAACCCAATTTTTATTAAGTTAGTTGTAATGTTCAAACATCAGAAAACATGAAAATACTATTAGCTCTATTAACAGAAAGAGACTGCCCAGGTTCTTGTTGTAAAATATTTGTGGTGATGTCATGCCTGAATAAGAATACCATATTTCTTTTTTGTCAATAGAAATTCATTGTTAGTATAGCCATTGATATTTGAGTTTCTGAAGTCTTGGAGTCTGAGGTTTCATGTAGAGATCAATTTCATCACTATCTTTAGAGTCTAATGTGGTCAAGTATATCCCAAGTATTCCATGGGACATACTGAAACTAAAAAAACTATTTAAAAAAAAAATCTGAAATTCAATTTTAATCAGGTGTCCTGGATTTTTAAAGCAACCCTACTAAAAGCAGACTACAAAGATGTTATCTCTAACCTTTCATACTTTCTGGAAAGATAATTTAATACTTTGGGCAATGCAATAGAGAAACTAAAGTGTCACTATTTCGCTGTTGCATGCATAAGGTTTTGTGATTCCATCATTTTTCTGTTTTGTTAGTTTAGTCTCTTGGTAAAGGTGGGAATGACTGATGAATAACTATGAATAACGGTGAAACAGTAAAATGTTATGAGATACAGGAAATTAAGAGCACTAAAATTCCATAATATAGCTTAGATTTTTTAAGGGTTTTTTTTTTTTTTTTAAAGATTTCATTTATTTATTCATGAGAGACAGAGAGAGAGAGAGGCAGAGGGAGAAGCAGGCTCCCAAGGAGCAGGGAGCCCGATGCGGGACTCGATCCCAGGACCCTGAGATCATGACCCGAGCTGAAGGCAGGCGCTTAACCATCTGAGCCACCCAGGCGCCCTTTTTAAGGGGTTTTAATGGATGTACATAGTAGTTGCAGGATAGAATGAGGGTTGTTTTTTTTTTTCTTTTTTTTTTTAAGTGAATTTTCTTTTCGATCTTTAGAAGACCTCTAAGAAAATAAAATTCATAAAATATCAATCCTTACAAATAAAACTGCTGAAGAAAATATACTCAAAACCTAAAATTGGGTCTAAATGGACGCTGGTGGTGGTGTACTGAGAGTTAAATGGAGTTATTGTGCATGGATATATAAGATAGTGCGTAGAGTTCTAAGTGTAGTTAGGCCTCAAAAGGGGGAAAAGAATCTGGTTCCCACAGTCTTAGGTGTCAGACAACAGCAAGGGAGGCATTTCAGAGTTGCACATCAAGCATAATGAGCTCTTGAGAGAGCAGCTTCCTGGGAGTGATCTAAATCAGAGAATTTAGAAGCCAACTTCTTTCCTCCATACCCCCTCCCCACCTTTTTAAAAACAAATACATTTCCAGGAAAAATTTTAGAACAAGGGTTGGCAAACTATAGTCCATGGGCCAAATCTGGCCTACTATGGTTGGGAAAAAAATTAAAATGAGAAGAATAATTCTAGGGACATGAAGATTACATGAAATTCAAATATCAGTGCCCATAAATGACGTTTTGACACTCATCCACGCTTATGTAGAAATTGTCTTTTGCTTCTTTTATGCCACAGTGACAGAATTGAGCTACATCTGTAGCCTGTAGAGCCCAAAGTATTTACTGTCTGGCCTTTTACAGGAAAGGTTTGTCAATCCCTGATCTAGAGTGAGCATTTAACTGTACTTACGTATCTATATTGTTCTTAATCATGTGGGGGTATTTTTGTTAGTTTGTTTTTGCTTATATGTTATGTTAGGCAAGAAACTTACTTGGGATTAATAACAAGTTAGATCAGATGTTAAGAAAGAATGGTTGAAACATATCTTTATAGAGAGAAAAGGAGTAGGATGAAAACAGGTATATTCTAATGCCCTATGTGTAGGACCTGCAGTCTGAGGTGAGTGAGTCAGTCCTTACCTTCTGTCCCCTTAGAGTTTGCTTTCCTCAGGGTTGTGACTTCCCTTTACATGTGGTAGTAGTATTCCTCCATTAACAAAAAGTTTACAGGTTTGTTTTGTTTTGTTTTTTAAGATTTTATTTATTTATTATGAGGAGAGACAGAGCACACAAGCAGGGGAAGCAACAGAAGCAGTCTCCCCGCTGAGCTGGGAGCCTGACAGGAGGCTTGATCCCAGGACTCTGGGTTCATGACCTGAACCAAGCACAGACCCTTAACCATCTGAGCCACCCAGGCACCCCAAGAAGTGTACAGCCTTTGCCAGTATTTTGAAGTATCTGGGAAGAGATCTGGCAGAGTTACATCCTTGTAAGGTGTTATCAAGAACTGGTTTGAGGACAGTTTATTTCTATAAACAGATTGGAGATTTTATAATATTGTTAAAGAAGAGGCAAAAACCTAAAATGTTAGAAATGGAACCTTTTGGGAATTTATTTATTTATTTATTTTAAAAGATTGTATTTATTTATTTGACAGAGAGAGACACAGTGAGAGAGGGAACACAAGCAGGGGGAGCGGGAGAGGGAGAAGCAGGTGATGTGGGGTCAATCCTGGGACCCCGGGATTATGACCTGTGCCAAAGGCAGACGCTTAATGACTGAGCCACCCAGGCGCCCCCCCTTTTGGGAATTTAGAGGATGGAAATAACTGTTTTGTTAATCATAGTGATTTCATTTTATTTTATATATATATATATATATATTTTTAAGTAGGCTCCATGCTGGGAGCCCAGTGCAGGGCTCAAATTCACAACCCTGAGATCAAGAGCTGGATGCTTAACTGACTGAGCCACCCAGGTGTCCCAGTCATAGTGATTTTAGATTGAATGGATGTGATAATCTAGAATATTTGATGTGACAAATAATTAAAAGAACATGAAAAGAAAGAATAATCATAGTATCTACCATGTTTAAGAGGCTGATAGACTCTGTACTAGAGTTTTTACATATATTTCTTAATCTCACAATAATCTTGCAAGTGAAGTGATTTATCAGAATCATAAAGTTCCTGAAAAGCCAATTTTTATGTATGGGATGGGTTTTTGAAGACTCAGAGTTTGGCTATTCCAAGTGAAATAATAACAGGTACGGGGGACTCATTCTTACGTGCACAAATCCATCTGTTATGGAATGTCTATTTTTTTCTCAGAAAATGCTCACGGCTTCAGTGTTACAGCAGCTGTTTGATCTCTCTTTTATTCACTATAGTTTTTAGTACTAGCACCACTTCTAAATAAATACATGAGTGACATTGCTGTAGTCTATTAAAAAGATTTCAAACTATGATAATAAATATTAAAATTATTTCTTCACATACAGGAGGAATCCCAGTTATCCAGAGACATTTTCATGCCAACCATTTACCACTTAAGAATTTTTTTTTATGGGGCGCCTGGGTGGCTCAGTCGTTAAGCGTCTGCCTTCGGCTCAGGTCATGATCCCAGGGTCCTGGGATCGAGTCCCACATCGGGCTCCCTGCTCGGCGGGAAGCTTGCTTCTCCCTCTCCCACTCCCCCTACTTGTGTTCCCTCTCGCTGTGTCTCTATCAAATAAATAAAAAATCTTTATAAAACAAAAATGGGGTGGCTAACGTGGCGCCACCATGTGGTAATAGCAGAAACCCAGTTTATACTTAACTTGGCCTACCAGCTTTGAAATTATGACTTTTTTTTTTTTAAAGATTTTATTTATTTATTTGACAGAGAGAGAGATAGCGAGAGCAGGAACACAAGAAGGGGGAGTGGGAGAGGGAGAAGCAGGCTCCCCGCAGAGCAGGGAGCCCAATGCGGGACGCGATCCCAGGACCCTGGGATCATGACCTGAGCCGAAGTCAGACGCTTAACGACTTGAGCCACCCAGGCGCCCTGAAATTATGATTTTCATAAAATGATTTTTTAAAAATTTTTGTGGGATCCCTAATGTGTATATTAAGTGAGGCTTTATGTCAGATTGCCTTAATCTTTTTTTCCTCCAATTTTTTATTGTAAAATATAGATAATGTAAAATTTATTAGTTTAATCATTTTTATACAGTTCAGTGATATTAAATGCATTCATAATGTTTGCAACCATTACCACCATCCATCTCTAGAACTCTTTTCATCTGGTAAAACTGAAACTCTGTACCCATTAAACATTAACTCCCCATTCTCCCCTCCTCATTGCTTGGCAACTACCATTATACTTTTTCCTCTATGATTTTCACTACTCTAAGTACCTTATATATATATATATATATACAATATTTGTTTTTTTTATCATTGGCTTATTTCACATAACATAATGTCTTCCAGGTTCATCCATATTGTAACATGTGTCAGGATTTCCTTTCTTTTTAAGCTGAATAATATTCCATTATTTGTACCCCATTTAGCTATTGTGAATAATGCCCTAAGTTCAAAATCATGTAAAATGTGGCATGCAACTTCAAAGAAAAGAAGTCTACCTTCTATAGGTCCTGAGTTGTCTTGTGTTGACTTGCCTGATGTTCTGTAGTATGTATTTCTTCTGCAGGTGAACCGTCCTATTGGCAGGGTACAGATCTTCACTGCAGATTTGTCCGAAATTCCCCGTTGCAACTGTAAAGCTACTGATGATAACCCCTGTGGGATAGACTCTGAGTGCATCAATCGCATGCTGCTCTATGAGTGCCACCCCACAGTATGTCCTGCCGGAGGACGCTGCCAAAACCAGTGCTTCACTAAGCGCCAGTATCCAGAGGTTGAAATTTTCCGAACATTACAGAGGGGCTGGGGTCTCAGGACAAAAACAGATATTAAAAAGGTGAAGAAAATTTTTCATAATTTCCAGATTTTTTTTCTTCTTTGCAGTTGCTTAATATGAGTAATTATTCTTGATGAATATGAGAAAATGATCATTAGAGGAAAGATAACATAGTGTAAGGATTAACCTTACTGTTGGGTCTTGCTGTGTCCTTCTAGAGTGTTTTTTTTTTTTCTTCCTTCTAGAGATTAGATGCTTGAGAATAGTCTTCTTTACCTCTAAAGTCCTTAGTATTGCTCATGTTCATGGTGTGTGAGGATGAAAAAATGAAGGAAATTCATAGAGATACTATGGCCTTGCTTTCTCTTTTGTGACAATTCTGGAACTTGTAGTTAAGAGGAAGGGGATAGTATGTGATACAGAGGTGTTAATCACCTAATAAAATAAAAACTTTTTACTAAGGGAAAATTGGTTTTGGTTCATGGAAAATGAAGAAGAGGATTAGGCCTTCTCTAATAAAAGTGCAGTAACATCTTCAACTTCAAACTTAGAAGGACCTGCAAGTTTCTTTTTTAATTTTATTTTATTGTGTTATGTTAGTCACCATACATTACATCATTAGTTTTTGATTTAGTGTTCCATGATGCATTGTTTGCGTATACGTGCCCTCCTTAATACCCATCACCGGGCTAACCCATCCCCCACCCCCCTCCCCTCTAAAACCCTCAGTTTGTTTCTGAGAGTCCATAGTCTCTCATGGACCTGCAAGTTTCTAATAGAGAATATTATATAGTCTTTGTGTAGAATAAATCTTATTTGACATTTTAATAAAATAAAACTTACTCTAGTTATGCTTTCTAAAGAATTTTATTGAAGTTTGTTTCTAGAAAAGGAAATGAATATTGGCTGGTCTGTTTCATTATTTGCTAAGTAGCTATTATGTGTCTACTGTGTGCCAGGCATTGTGCTATAAATGCAGTGTTAAGTAAGAGAGGCATAGGCCGTGCTTTCATAAAGTTTACATTCTAAGGGGGCGAGACATTGATCAACTAGTCCCCCAGTGTGGAAGCACAATGGGTTCTACAGGCATATGGTAAATGGTAAAGGGCCTGAAACTAGCTTTGACTCAGAATATTTTAAGTTGAGAATTGAAATACAAGTAATTGTTGGCTTAGGCTAGGTGAGTTAAAGCATTGCTGTCAAATTGGACAGCATGAGGGAAAGCCAGTATGACTGTAGCAGAGTGAGTCAGGAGGACAGTATTATAAATATGGAAGGGCAGCAGGCAGGGTATATTCCAAGGAAAAGGAACATAGTTTATGGAAATTGACTTTCAGGTTTTGGGGCAGTTCAAGGGATTTATATTTATATCATTTGAGATGAGAGAGTGTTTGTATCATATAAGACTATAATATTAATAAATTATATACATGAAAAATTATTTTTTCAACCCCTTGACTATTTTATGGAGCCCTAGTTTACCTACTTCCATGTTGGTTGATCTTTAATGTCCATTGTATCCCAGTCTTTCTCCTGGTGACAGTGATAGGAGTGAGGAGGTGTTTTTCATTGTCAGATAGTTGAAGCATCATATTTATGTTTCTTGAATAAACCTTTGTTAAATTGATTAGGTACATGTACATGAACTGCTTTGGAGATTGTTATTTTCATTAAATTTTTTTAAAAATAAGGTGTACCTGGGAATACAGTTGTGCTTTTTGCCATTAAGAACTATTTCTTGTTCTAGGGTGAATTTGTGAATGAGTATGTGGGTGAGCTAATAGATGAAGAAGAGTGCAGAGCTCGAATCCGTTATGCCCAAGAACATGATATCACTAATTTCTATATGCTTACTCTAGACAAAGTAAGTGTTATTTCCATTGTTATAAGATTGTGAAATTGATATTGTCCCAGCCATAGTGTTTGTAGGCATGTAATTCACTGCCCAAAACAGCGTCTTTCCCTTATATTTGTAGGGTTTGCTTTGTCGAGGTTCTGGAGTAGCTAAATTTGCTCATTTCTGGCTACACATCCCTTGCCAGAGTCAGCAGAGCTACTGTTTGCATTCTTTTTGAACTGTCCTATACAAGTTGGGTATTATGTCTTTTAGTATTTTTCCTATTAGATTAAAACCTGAAGCCAGCCAAGTAAATAATCATTCTTTCATCCTTTTTTTTACAGATTCAGAAACTGATTTGTTAATACTTAGTTCATTGACAAGTTCATATAAATTGTAGAACTCAGCTTCTGAACCCAAGTCATCTTTCCAATCATAGGAATTTGCTGATGAGTTTAATTTCATTGGTGCCTAGAATTATATTTGGGACTCATTCCTAATTCCAGCATCCTAATGTGTTTATTTTCTGTGTATTTGACATTCTTCCTTGTACCTGAATACTAAGGTCTGCTAGCAATCCCCGACCCCTTCCATTGGCTATTATAACAATTCTTTCCTGGTGTGAAACTTCATGAACATTTATTAAGTTGAACCCTTTGGTTTGTGAGATCATCACCTCCAGATATTCAGATCTTCATTTGGGATGGGGTCTCAACATCAGTATTAAAAACTCCTTAGCTGATTTCTAATGTGTAGCCCCAGGGTTCAGGACCATCAAATTGAGAGGATGGGGCAAGCTGCCGCTTCTAGGGCAGTGGTCCTCAAACTTCAGCATAAATCAAAATTACCTACTGGGCTTGTTATAACACAGATTGCTGGGCCCTCCCTCAGAGTTTCTGCTTTTAGTATATCTGAAGTGCAGCCCAAGGATTTGTATTTCCAGCAAATAATTGATATGGTGCTGCTAGTGATAGATTAGTGACTACACTTTGAGAACCACTCCTGGGAGAATCAAATTATACAAATAGGAACTCTAGCTTGTTAGAATATATAGGAAGTATCTAATGAGCATCATCTCTTGGAATTCTAGGACCGGATCATTGACGCTGGTCCCAAAGGAAACTACGCTCGGTTCATGAATCATTGCTGCCAGCCCAACTGTGAAACACAGAAATGGTCTGTGAATGGAGATACCCGTGTTGGCCTTTTTGCCCTGAGTGACATTAAAGCAGGTAAGAATCAGTTAAGGATTCTGGAGCTAAGAAAGGAATTTCAGGTTTTATCATCTAAACATCCCATATGTCCTGTAATCCAAAATGAGGTCTGCAAACTCTTGGGAATACAGAAAAGACTTTCCAGGTGGTACTTGGCATCGAATATTTTTGGTGGTGATGGTGGTATGGCAAAATATACATAACATAAAGTTTATCATTTAACCATTTTTTAATTGTACAGTTTTGTGGCAGTAGGTCCATTCACCTTGTTGTTCAGCTGTCACCTCCATCCATCTCTTTAACCCTTTCATCTTCCCCAAGTGAAGCTCTGTATCCATTAAATGCTAATTCCCCATTTTCTCTCCCCTCAGCCCCTGGCACCACTGCCAGACACTACTCCAAGCATATTACCATATTTAATCCTTGTAAAAATGTTGTGAAGTATATGGTATTATATACCTGTGTTACTTGGATTCTTGGGTCTGGCACCTCTAACCGCCCTGGGGTCGTGTCCTGTGTATTAATTACTCAGGTATTATCCAGGCCCATAACTTCAGTCCTTCTATCTCTCCTGGCTGCTTTCAGTACATCTGTATTTGTAACTTAAGTCTTTGTCCATGGTGATAGATTCCTCTACCATTTCTAGCCACAAATTTTTCTTCTCTCTTTTCCCATATTCACTTAGCTCAAGTAGCATGGTATGGGAATTCACAGACCTTGTTCTTGTTCTCACTTGACTTCCAGTCTGCATGGGTGGAGTGAGAGGAACGAGACAGAAAGCTCAGTGCTATGCAGAGTTCCTATGGAGCTGCAGCCTTGACAGATGGAATCAGAACTTTTCAGCTTGCTCTCTTTACTCATTCAGCTTCATGTAGTCTTCAATACCTGTTATACTTTCTACCACATGTGTCATACTCCTTGTTTTTCTTTTCTCCAATGCCTTTCATCCCCATAAGTGCAGACCTCAAGGATTGTTGTATATTGGGCTCTTTTTTAGAATGGTATGAATCTTTCCTTTATGCACACCACTGCCTTCTGATTTATCCCTTGTGCGGTTATGTTTACATAGTGGATGGTGAGTAAGCAGTAGGTTATGTCAAGTATCCTGCTATCTTATATTTGTGTATATGGTTGAGTTGTATTATTCGCACATTAAATTAATGAAAATTCAGTTATATACTCATAAATTGTTTGATAAGAAAGGAATAAAGTGAATAGAATTATCTATCATTCAGTGCAGTATTTCGCCATAAATGTGAGAGGGGAGACAGAGCCCTGCTCTTATCTTGGTCAGTCTTGGTTCCTGCAAGTTCCTTGCAGTGTGAACTTCTCACCAGGCCATGAGTGATTCTAGTTTTTGTACCATTTGGACCCCTAAATGTAAGGTAGCTGATTTATAATTTGCTTAGCTGAATAAACAAATAATGATCTATATTAATCCAATATTAGATGAAAAACTATATATATCAGTTAATCTCATTGATGGAAGATAGGTCAGTCTGCAGTGGGAAATCTAAGATTTGGTCATTTTGACCAAATGATTATCACTTTACACGTTAATGGTGAACCATTACCCCAACCCAGAGTTAATAATCTCTTTTTATACATATATAAAATTCTTGTATTTGTTAGGCCTTCCCTAATGTGCTTTGAATTTGAATGGTTGTGGGTTTTATTTCCTCTCTTAGTTTTGATAAGATGCACTTTTGACAGAAAGGGGACAATTTGTACTTTAAATCTGTACATCTCTTTTTAAAGTTTACAAATTACTGCTGTGTGCATTATGTCCTATTCTCTAAATTAGCTTGTGCGGTTGTTGTTTCTGCATTTAATAAATGTACTCAGGGCTCAAATCACCCAGCTAGACTGTGGTAACAGGGATATAAAGCCAGGGCCCAAGTTTGTGGTATAGAGTTCTCTAGTATTACTCTGTATTGAGATGTCTCTCCCTTAAGTTCTGCTAGATTTGGCACAGATCAACAGGTTTTCTTCATACTTGCATTCCCAGTGCCTAGCACATCAGTGTGTACAGGTGAGTTGTTGTTTGTTTTTGGTAATGAATTAATATATTTTGAATCTGATTAGGAAACACAAAACAACTTGGGATAATTAACATCTCTACAGTAAAGGTTATTTTAAATATTACTTGTTAACCTGTATAAGTTTTTCTGTTACTAAGTTGTATTTGCTGATTAATAATATTATAGGATTTGAACGTATTAGTATTTCATTAATATAGTGGGATTAGAGTTAATAAATCCCTTCTATCCTCTGAAAAATCTGTTCTCTTGCAAGTCCATATCCTTTGTGATTAATACAGAAGTAATATAATTAAAACCATAGATATTAATATTTTCATGGTCTTTTATGCAGGCACTGAACTTACCTTCAACTACAACCTGGAATGTCTTGGGAATGGAAAGACTGTTTGCAAATGTGGAGCCCCAAACTGCAGTGGCTTTTTGGGTGTAAGGCCAAAGGTACTTTCCAAATGTTTCCATCGGGAATAATGGTGTGGTCCTCCCTCCCTAACCAGTGGCATAGCTGACTTTTTAAGATGTCTCTTTGGAATAATGACATTGGATAGTTGTCGGTAGGGCTACTGGCACTTAACTAAGCATTCTGATGGTCAGTTTGGTTATTCAAGAGCAGATCTGTGGGTGTTGTTGAATTTCTTTTGAGCAGTCTGATTTCTAATTGGTGATACCTTTCTAGCTAAAAAAGCTGTAAGATAGGAATCCATAAAGTAGGTTACTTCCCATGTCTTTATTGGTCTCAGCTCATCTCACTCACATTTCCTAATAAGCTTCTTAGATTCTTGGTATCTGTGTCTCCCTCTCTTCCTCTCTTTGTCTTTTTAAAGATCTCAAAGAATCCAATATTGAATTTAAGATTCTAAATGTAGTATAACACTTGTAGATAAACATAGGACCCTTAATATTATCTTAAAGTATAAGCATTGTTGTGTCTTACTCTCTGGGGTTTTATGTGCATTTTAACTAGCTTATAATTCTGTAAAGAATTACTTACAAGTCTGTATCCTGCATTTCTTAAATATTATAAAATCTTTTTCCTTGCTGTCACATAGTCTTTTTAACCATCGTCTCTCTAGTGACTTAATTTTCTAATATAATGGATGGACCATAATAGATGAACATGCATCCAGATTTTTCTATCCTAAGTTACAGCACAATAAAAATTGAAGTTTAATTTTGATGAAAAATACACAGTGACTCCATTTGGGTATTTCCTATTATGCTTTTTTGATTTGGAAGTCAGTGTTAAGAACTGAAAAATGCAAATTAGCACAGAAACCAATAACTAAAGGGGGCGTGATCTTTTTTATTTTTTTCTTAAAGATTTTATTTATTTATTTGACAGAGAGGGAGAGGGCATAAGCAGGGAGAGTGGCAGGCATGGGGAGAGGGGAGAAGCAGGCTCCCCACGGAGCCGGGAGCCCGATGTGGGGCTCGATCCCAGGACCCCGGGTCGTGACCTGAGCCAAAGGCAGTTGCTTAACTGACTGAGCCACTCAAGCACCCCAGGAGTAATCATTTTGAGCAAAAACACACGGAGATGGTGAACACCCCCAATTATTCTTTTATTAAATGAGGAAAATTATGTTTATATTTTATTGAGTTTTTTTTTCTTTAGTCAGTTGGTTAAATGGTCTTGTTCCTTAAGGTGTCCAGTTTATTACCTATAAATCAAAATAGTAACTGAGTTTAACCTAAGTTTAATGGTGTTACATTCACTAGGGATGTCAGTTTTTGCATCCTTAACATCTGTGTAGTATTTCACACATGGATGAGTGAAAGAGAAATTTGAGGGCAGAAGTTTAGAAATGGGAGATCACTGAGGGATAGTAATAATCAGATTGGTCCTGGATGTTTCTAGTCCAAGATAAATGATGTGATGAAACGCATGGGGTTTGGTAACCAAGTGTGGGCTGCAGGGATCATGGAGGAGACCTGCTGGCTGCACCAGGATCTGTCTTGGGGAATAGTGGATATGAACCTAATTTGATACAGATGAAGGGCACATAGCTTATTGAGGGCAAGGACCATGAATTAGTTTTCTGTGCCTTCCTAGCAGGTGACTCTTAAGTGTCCAGTGAAGGTTTATTGAATAAAGAAATGTGTGTGCACACACAAACATACACACCTAGACAAACACAAAAATAAAACGTAATGAAAGGGTAATGTTACCTTTAACTCTAGCCTTGTGTGTTAACAAAAATAAGTTTATTGGGTGCCTGGGTGGCTCAGTTGGTTAAGCGACTGCCTTCAGCTCAGGTCATGATCCTGGAGTCCCGGGATCGAGTCCCACATCGGGCTCCCTGCTCAGCAGGGAGTCTGCTTCTCCCTCTGACCCTCTTCCCTCTTGTGCTCTCTATCTCTCATTCTCTCTCTCTCAAATAAATAAATAAAAAATCTTTAAAAAAAAAATAAGTTTATTTTTCTTTTATTTCATTCAGGTGGCAGGAGTAGTTGATAGAAAAGTTAGAATTAATGCAGCCATTTATTGGGTACCTATGATGTGCGAGGTGCCTTTCCTGCATTTTCTCTTATCTTTACAATAGTCTATGAGGACTGTCTCTTCCCAGAGGAGAGACTGAGGCTCAGAGAGGATAGTTAATCTGGTCAAGATCACACAACTAATATATCAACAGAATGCTTACTGCTCAATATCTGACCTCTAGAATCAACCCATTGCCACAGAAGAAAAGTCAAAGAAATTCAAGAAGAAGCAACAGGGGAAGCGCAGGACCCAGGGTGAAATCACAAAGGAGAGAGAGGATGAATGTTTCAGCTGTGGGGATGCTGGCCAGCTCGTCTCCTGTAAGAAGCCAGGCTGCCCAAAAGTTTACCACGCTGACTGTCTAAATCTAACCAAGCGACCAGCAGGTTGGTGTCAAAATCCATGTAGAGTGCTCTTTGCTCTCTGCCAGAATTGTCAGAGCCCTTGGTCTTCCCATGCATAATGTTGAAGGGGGTATGGTTCATGTTCTCATTCTGGAAATAAAGGCTTTGGAATCCTAGGTTATAGAGAAGGGAACAGAAACTTACTCATTATATGTCAAGCACTTTATTTACATTTATGTTATGTTATTTTATCCTCCCAGCAACCCATAAAGATGAGACCTTTTCACCTTCCCATGATGCAGATGAGGAAACTGAGAGTCCAGTTTGGTGAGATGACTTGTCACAATAGAGCATGTAGATGGAGAAGTTGGATTGAAAGCCAGGTTTTCTGACTTCAAGGCCACTAAATCATGTTTCCTTTCTAAAGAAAGAGAGGTTGAGACAGCATGGAGTTTGGGGTTATTCTGGTCAGTGAGGTGTGGACTAGATACCCTGGAGTAGACACCCTTGAGCTCTCTTCACCCACTCCCTTATGAAGGAGATTTAGCTCCATCTGCTGACACATGAGAGAGCTGCTTGGGCAGATAGAGTGTCAGGAATTTGTGGCTGGAGAAGGTGCTAACTACTTTTTTTTTTTTTTTTTAAGATTTTATTTATTCAAGAGAGAATGAGAGAGTGAGAGAGCATGAGAGGGGGAGGGTCAAAAGGAGAAGCAGACTCCCTGCTGAGCAGGGAGCCTGATGCGGGACTTGATCCTGGGAGTCCAGGATCATGACCTGAGCCGAGGCAGTTGTTTAACCAACTGAGCCACCTAGGCGCCCAAGCTGCTAACTTTTGAGAGGGATTTGCAGTTAGAAGAGTTTGGGGGGACTTGGATATGTGGTCTGTTTTGTTGACGGAGGCAAGAGAGCAGTAGGGAGCCACTTCAGCTGAGGAAATTAAACATCACCAGTGGCCTGCTCTCAGGAATTGCAGAGAGAAAACTTTGGGGTGGGAATGAGAGGAGTTTGTCCCTGAACTAGCTTTCCTTCAATGTATGGTTGCCAGAGAAATAAAATAATAGAAACGGAGGTAGTGTGAGGGCAAGGCCACAGCATGACTTGTCAGTGCCAGGAAGTGGAGAAGGAGAATTGTTTCAGAATCAATAGCTCAGGATTGTAGCTGGCACAGGCTGCAATGGAACTCATCTTGACTAGAAGCCAGGAGTCAGGACTAGCATAGTTTATTTGGAAACTATGAGCCAGGGCGAAAACACCATCCATGGCAGAGACTCTCAGGTGTCATGAAATGGGAGCAAATAGACGGTAGGTCAGGGTCTTTTCCACTGGTTCTGTGTGGACTGTACAGGTAAAATTTGTGCTAGTTGCAAGATTTGAAACTGAGCAAAGGAAAATCTCAATTTTTCACATTTGTATATCTGCTCCCTGTTCCTAAATATAACCAAATAAGCAGAAGTTTAAATAGCCGAGATTATCCCTTTAGAGTTGAATATTGAAAGGCTATATTAGACAAATGGAGTTTGCAAAACTGTGGAAGTAGTATCTTCACATTCTATCTAAGGGGAGCTTTGGGTTTTTTCCCCCTTGCTAGAAATAGTCCTAGAAATAAGAAATTACTCCTGCCTGTATATTTAGTTGATACTCAGTTGCTACTTGTACTTGGCTTTTATTTTTATGTGTTGTAGAGGAGACTCAGATTCTGGGGCAGGGGAGGTGTCAGGTGAGTGGCATGAGCTCTCTGCAGAAGGTGGCAGTTTGAAATCACTCCTTTGACCCAGGCTCAGGGCCATGACTCATTTCATGCACCTTGCTTGTTTTCCTAAGCGTGTGTTTCATATCTGTGTTTTTAGGGAAATGGGAGTGTCCTTGGCATCAATGTGACATCTGTGGGAAGGAAGCAGCCTCCTTCTGTGAGATGTGTCCCAGCTCCTTTTGTAAGCAGCATCGGGAAGGGATGCTCTTCATCTCCAAATTGGATGGGCGTTTGTCTTGTACTGAGCATGACCCCTGTGGGCCCAACCCTCTGGAACCTGGGGAGATCCGTGAGTATGTGCCTCCGCCAGTACCGCTGCCTCCAGGCCCAGGCACTCACCTGGCAGAGCATTCATCAGGAGTGGCTGCTCAGGGGCCCAAAATGTTGGATAAGCTGCCTGCTGACACCAACCAGACACTGTCACTGTCCAAAAAAGCTCTGGCAGGGACTTGTCAGAGGCCACCGCTTCCTGAAAGACCTTCTGACAGAACTGACTCCAGGCCCCAGCCTGTAGATAGGGTCAGGGACCTTGCTGGGTCGGGGACCAAACCCCAATCCTTGGTATCCAGCCAGAAGCCATTGGACAGGCCACCTGCAGTGGCAGGACCAAGACCCCAACTATCTGACAAACCCTCTTCAGTGACTGGCGTAAGCTCCTCACCCTCAGTCAGGTCCCAACCACTGGAAAGACCTCTGGGGACAGCTGACCCAAGGCTGGATAAATCCATAGGTGCTGCCAGCCCAAGGCCCCAGTCACTGGAGAAAACCCCAGTCCCTACTGGCCTGAGACTTCCACCGCCAGACAGACTGCTAGTCACCAGCAGTCCCAAACCCCAGACTTCAGACAGGCCCCCAGACAAATCCCATGCTTCTTTGTCCCAGAGACTCCCACCTCCTGAAAAAGTACTATCAGCTGTGGTCCAGACCCTGGTAGCTAAAGAAAAAGCACTGAGGCCCGTGGACCAGAATACTCAATCAAAAAATAGAGCTGCTTTGGTGATGGATCTCATAGACCTAACTCCTCACCAGAAAGAACGGGCTGTTTCACCTCATGAGGTTACACCACAGGTTGATGAGAAGATGCCAGTGTTGGAGTCAAGCTCGTGGACTGCCAGCAAAGGTCTGGGGCAGATGCCGCGAGCCGTAGAGAGAGGCAGTGTGTCAGATCCTGTCCTTCAGCCACCGGGTAAAGCAGCAGTCCCTTCGGAGCACTCCTGGCAAGCGGTTAAATCACTCACCCAGGCCAGACTTCTCTCTCAGCCCCCTGCCAAGGCTTTTTTATATGAGCCAACAACTCAGGCCTCAGGAAGAGCACCTGCAGGGCTGGAGCAGACACCAGGGCTTCCCAGCCAAGCACCGGGCCTGGTGAAGCAGGTGAAGCAGATGGCCGGAGGCCAGCAACTACCTGGACTTGCTGCCAAGAGTGGGCAGTCCTTCAGGCCTCTTGGGAAGGCCCCATCCTCCCTCTGTACTGAAGAGAAGAAGTTGGCAACTGCAGAGCAGAGTCCCTGGGCCCTGGGAAAGGCTGCACCAGGGCCAGGACTCTGGCCCATGGTGGCTGGACAGACAATATCACCATCTTGCTGGTCCTCTGGGAGCACACAGACATTGGCACAGACTTGCTGGTCTCTTGGAAGAGGGCAAGACCCTAAACCAGAGCAAAATACACTTCCAGCTCTTAACCAGGCTCCTTCCAGTCACAAGTGTGCAGAGTCAGAACAGAAGTAATATGAGTAAATGTCACATGACCAGACCAGCTGCCCCCAGGGTTCTTGGGGAAGGGAAATCATCTTTCTTTTCCCCTCTTAAAAAACAGACCCCACCACTTTTCCACTGTTACTCTTTCCTTATATCCCAACACTCAGAACTCTTGTGACATTAGCCAGTGGGGGCATGTGGTTGTGTAAACCATGTATGGAAATCCAAGTGGGCCCCAGCCAAGGAGACAGACAGACTTGGGTCTTTTTCCTCCAACCTTTACACATGGTAACTTGAAATAAAAAGTCCACTCTGGAGTCAAGCATGGGATTCAATTCCACTGGTCAGGTTGGAAGGTAGAGGGGCTCTCGAAGTTATTTCTCTAGCCCTACAGAGCCCCACTGAGGGCATCTGATGAACACTTGGGAAGAACTGATATCAGTGGTGGTTTCTTGAGCATTCATATGTGCTAGGCCAGGTGCTAGTCACTAACAGGAGATACAAGAGATAAGACCTGATCCCTGTGAGCCTAACATGCCTGCCTGGGTTCTCAGGCTGTTTTCATGAACCTTTGATCAGGAAATAACAGGAAGTTCTGAGGGGCCCTGGGGCTCCAGACTCATTTTGTAATGTCCTTTATGGCCCCAGAAGTGGTTGTGTTGAGTAAGTGTCCCCTGGTTGGGTGTGCGTGTGATGCACGCACGCTCATGTGGAGGTCTCTATTGGTGGGGTTGGGGGGGTGGGGGGGTTGCATCAAGGCCAAGTGGAGCCGTTGGCTGGGCAGCCGCTACTGCTTCTGTCTGGGCTGTGCAGAGTCTGAAAATCTGTCCTTGGCAGAGCAGCTGGTTGTGGGGGCTGGGCTCTACAAGGACATAGCTTTCCCGAAGTATAAGAAGGCAATTGGCAAGCTTACCTTTCTTTTCTACCAGTTTTCCTCCTTTTACATCAGCCCACCCCATGCCCGCCCCCCAAACACTCAGGTGCTTTCAGATTTCAGAGTCGGGCAGTGGACATAGGGAATCTCTGGCAAGCTCTGGGCTAGATCTACCACCAGCTCAGGGAGAGTGCCAGATTCTGATGGAAAATTCCTTCTCTTTTGATCCTTTGCCCTCTTACCTGAATGGAGGGAGTCCTCTCCTTCACTGGTGGATTCTACCACCCTATCCCTGAGAATTGCTGTGTTCTGTACTGAGAGCACCTGCCTGCTGACTTTGTTCAAAGGCAGGCCAGAGCCCTTCCCCTGTGACTGGCAAGATGTGGTGTTTAGAGCAATGTCCAGTCTGAGAGATGATTCCTCATAACTGCTGATTATCTGTTACTGCTGCCCTGAGCTGGGGCCCAAGGGCTGGGAAATCTGTTGGTGCTACCCTGCCCTACCATTCACCCAGCTCACCAACTGCCAACAGGAAGTGCTGTTTGGCCAGTTCCTTCCCATTCACTCACCCCTCCTTTGTCCCTAGACCAAACGTGTTTACCTCTCTGCTTTGCCAACTTAGCCAGCAGCTTTAGCCAACAGGCCATCTCCTGGCCCAGATGTCTCCTGGCCATTCTGTTTCAGTTATGGCTTTTACACCCTCAACAAGATTCTGTATTTTGTCCCAATTTCCTCCTCCTGAGTTCCTACTGAGGTTATCCACATCACTTCTAAGGAGGGAACAATAGTTATAGAAGCATTTGCGCTTTATATAAAGATTAAAAGAAGAATTTGCTTTTATTTCCCAAAGTCTGTCTCGGGTTGAGACACTTGAACTCAGGCAGAGGTACGAGGCTGGGCAGGGCTGTCCCAAGTCTAGGGGCCTATCTCTGCATCCCACTTAGACCTCGAAATCTCCTCTGTAAATTCCACCTGCCTAGTTCTCCCCTCTTCATCCTATCTCTCTTCCCACATCATGAGAGAGGAAAAGCTCTTTGTTCAAAAGGAAAAAACAAAGCATCTTATTTTCTTTTTTAAAAAATTTTAAACCATGGAAAAGATATTTTTAAAGAAATCCACCCAGAACATTAAAGTTCATTATATTAAGTATTTATCATGTGTGAGAATAATAAGTATATAACTGCAGCTAGTAGGTCCCTTTCCCTAATCTCTTAGGCTGTATGAGTAGGGTTTGCTTGGTGCCAGTCCTGTGCCCTTTTCTCTCCTGTCATCTGTAGTTGTGATCAGAAAAAGATATTCGCACTGCACTGTCAGAATCTCCTTTCACTATGTTGTGTGTTAAATTACCGTAGCTCTTTGTTTCATGAAATAAACTGTGAATTTGGGGGGGGGGTGTGTGTGCAGGCTATGTAAAAAAATTTAAGTGGAGAAGTTTGATCCTGAAATAGCTTCTCTGAAGTAGGCTTTGGTAGGTAATTGACTTGACAGCCGCTCTAGATATGTCTCACAGGACAAGGAGTGAGGGAAAGGTGGGCCATGAGTGGTTTTGTTTTGGTTCTTTCCATTCTCCACCATTTACTGGAAACGTCCTTCCAGACCTGCCTGGGAAAACAACTTTGGAGCTGTGCTTAGTTTGGGGGAGAGGGTGGGGGTGGGGGGGTGGCAGTTCTTTATCTAGATGGACATCCAGGCTTTTGTGAGGGTTACTGAAAGACTCTCAGGTAGAATGGAAACTAGAAATTCAGCTGTCAGGCCCACTGATAGCAGCATCTGATACCAGATTGTTAACATCAAGAAAGTATTACCATACAATTAGAAGCAGAGTTAGAAGGACTACTGGGAAATTGAAACTCATGCATGAGGGACAATGGGGAGACAGTTACCCTGCCAGCTCTTGGGGACTCTCCTGGAGCCTTGTACTGAGACCTTTTCTCCAGAGGGTGTGAATTGGCAGTTGAAAGCTTTTCTCTTAGAAACTCCTGATCTTTGTGCAAGGATGGTATTTGACCAAGTGCCTGGAAATCAGGATCTCAAGAGAGAGTGCCTCTAAGCCAGTCCCCAGGAAACGTTTCCAAGGGGGAAGTTATAGCTTCCATAGGTAGCTAAAGAACCAATATCTCCTAGCCCTGTTCAGTCAGAAGAACTTGATGGAAACTGTTGAAATTTGAATTCAAAGCCTCATTTGCTTCTCCTGCTGGAGTAAACCCATTCTAATAGCAAAATAACTGTCATTGCTACAGAAGGATCCCAGTTTTTAAATGTCTGCTTCCTCCAAAAGTTACTGAGTTTGAGGTGATTTAAGTCACTGTGTTGGTCCTCTTAATTGAACAACTACCAAACCTGCATCTTTAGCATTGATGGAAATAATTATTTTATCTTCACATTCTCTACCCCACACTACAGTCAGGGCACGAAGTGCATCAGCAATCCTTTCCCAGGCTCAGCAGCATCTCCTCACTGGAGCTGGACTCCCAGGTCACATCATGAGAACAGAATGGCAGGAAGGAAGTCTGGTCCTGGCAGATTCCCCTGTGGAAAGGAATCAGGAAAGCACTAAACGTGGATGGATTTTGCCCTCAGCTCCTATAAAGTGGGTTTTCTCCTAAGGCTTTTTCGGAGGATATTGTCATCCTCTTGCGGTTTTGTCAACCAGGAGGTCAGAGTGGCCCAGTCTCCTCACCTGAGATCATGGCAAGAAAGGAGCTACCACAAGCCCCTTTCCCTGCTAGATAATGCTTGGGCTGCTTCATGTGTTAGCCATTCCAGATCACTTAGAGCTAGGCAGCTGCTGCATGGGACTTTCGTTGGCTGTGGCCAGTTAGCTCTCAGCTGAGCTTCCTAGGGCCAGTGCAGCAGGGCCAGCGGTTGCTGTAGTACAAATTGAAATAATAGATAATTGCTTTGAACACAAAAAAATGTAATGATGGTGCTAATTTTCTGGTATAAATAAGCACTGCCAAGGGTTGAGGGACTGGTGACTTGAGAAACCCAGGTTCCTGTTTGGGAGGAAGAAATTTTGTGTAGAGTGGTTTCTTTGAGGCTCAGTTAGAGAAGGAGAAGGCAGAGCCTCAGTGAAGCCTGCACCCGACCCTGGAGTGGGTCAGCATAATCCTAGGTGGAAGAGATGCTATATCCAGACGAGGGTGGCCATTGAGTTTCTCAGGGCTGGTGTCACCTTGTCACCTGGTGTAGCCTCCGTCCACACTGCCTAGAACCCGTTGGTAGAGCGCTCCAGCTGTGGGGTTCTCCTTCTGCCCCTCTCTACCTCTTCCACTCTCATGGGAGCACCTCAATTGCTTATGAAGATTAAGGGTAATATTTCTTAAGGAAGTGGAAAGAGTTTATTTTAATTAGAAATCCACAGCCTGAGAAATGTTTCCTACCAGCATAAGCAAAATCATGTTAAACTCTTACATGCTCCCTTCTCTAGAGCTGCTTTCCCATGACTTTCAAACCATCAGGCTATTGAGGGGCTTCAGGTCTAACACCCTGGAAGTCAAGCAAAGCTTTGTGGACAGGAGATAAGCCCAGGGAGTAGGAGCAGAGATGAATGGTTGTGGTGCTTTAGACTTCCAGGGTAGGGGCAGAGAACAGGTGGTCTCCAGGTCCAAGGTGGGTGCTGCCTGTGTGTGCGTGTAGAGACGTGTGTTGGAGATGGGTGAGTGCAGCACACAGGAGCTCATGGAAGAGCAGCTTTCTAAGTCTTGGCAAAGAAACAAGCTGACAATAGAGATCTATATATTTTTAAGAAAGGGGCAGGGGGGGGTTGTCAGCTGAGGTCCATCACTGGTCTTTTGCCCCCTCCTCCCCCCATAGATTGTCAGCTGTAAGTGAAACTCTTAGTGAAAAAGAGGGGAGCCCTGTAGGAGTCCCCATAAACATGTACTGTAATTCTTTGTATATAGAAAAAAATTACTGTAAAGTAAAGTTTAACTTTACTCTTATGGCCCTTGCCCTGTGTGTTGTTTGTTGTCCGTGGGGAGATGTAGCTTAACAGGAGGGAGGATGGGTTTGGGGTGAGAGCAGAAACGAGCTCCTGAGATAGTTCCCAGGCTGGGGACATGGTGGAAGTGAGCCCCTCCTCTAAGCATCTCCAGGAGTGGTGTGGGTTTCCTCCTAGCAGCCACCAGCTGCCAGAATGTCTTTCACTTCTTTTGGGAGTAGCTGGTGTCAGTTTCAGCCCCTATACAGGAAGCTTCCATTACCCATGAAGGAAGGGTATTTTGAGGAATTGGTTTTCAAAAAGGAAGTGGAACCAAAGCATTTTCTGTGAGTCTGACCGTTCTGGCCACGTTTTTAGTTCTTCAGAGATAGGTGCTAGGTACTGCAGAAGACCTAGCCCAGGCCTAAGGCAGGAAAAGCAGAGGCAAAGCAGCCAGGCCTCCAGTACTGGAAAAGGGCTGCCATATGCTTTTTAGCTGAACAGGAGGTACCAGCCCTATCCACCCTAACACTTGATACTTCTAAGACCCAAAAATGTACTTTGGGGGGAGTCTTGGGAGTCTGTCTGTCCTTCTGACCTAGTCCTAAACTTCATGCCCTTCAGCAGAAAGCCCTCTGGGGAATAGTGTGGGAAGACAAACATTCAGTCCTAGAGTTACTTTTTGCTCAGGATCTTCGCCACCCTGAACTGGGTAGTGGTCACCTGATTTTTACAGATGGGAAACTCAGGCCAAGTTTAGGTCCCTTTTCTGTTGATAGCTGAATTGGATCCCAATCTGGATCTGTAAGACCTGTCTTGCAGATTTCTTCCATTAAGCCACCTTGTAGTAGGTTGCTGGGAAACTTAGGATCTGAGCCACAGACATGACTCATGAACCTAGATGTGACAAGTAGTGGTAGAACCAGCCAGTCTGAGGTAGGAGTGCTTGACCCTTTGATCTCTGGACACCATTTAAGTGCCTGCCTTGCGTGAGCTTTGCATTGCCCCAGCCCCTCACCTATCTTTGTCCCCCCCTAAAGAACAGGAAAAGGCCTTTTTGTTTCTACATTATCTCAGATGCAACCCTGGAGTGAAGTTCCTTGGCTTCCAAAAGAATAAGAGCTGAGAGGAGCCTTAATATAGGAAGTGAGGCCAGCTGGTAGCCCCAGAAAGAACTAGGTGTCTTGGCACCTAATCCACACAGCAGGGAGAGGGGCTGAGTGTGATTCACAGTGCATTGATTTTATTTACAAATCAAAAGCCACTTAAATAATCTGCAGACACAAGTGCTGTCCAGGGCAGGAGCCTGGGGTCCAAATAAGCCTTTACCCTCCTCATGCCCATCAGTCAGCCCAATGCTGCCTCCGTTCCATGGGCCAGCACAGGCAGGTGCCACCTCTGCTGCCCTGGGGACCGGGGGTAGCTCAGACGTCTGGCCACTCAAGCCCAGACAGGAGCTAGGTCTAGCCCTTCTGGGGGGATTCCTTTAATTCCCCTAGGCCAGGTGAGTGGTGGTGACTCAGTGATGACAACAGCTGTAGAAGTAGGGGTTTGCCTTCTGGCTCAGGTCCACGCCCTTGTCCTCTGTCAAAGAGAGGTGGCAGCTCAGCACCATTCTGTTTGGGAATCAGGTAACTCGTGAAGGGGGCCAGATGCTGTGGGCCTAGAGGAAGTCTCCAGAGAGGCTGGGGAAGCACACACACCTGTCATCACCTGGAAGGCAGCCACACTGACGTAGTCCTCTGCCACTTTCTGGAAGAGCTCGTCTGGCAAGAAAAAGGGCAAGTCAGTGAGGGCTCAAAGCCAGTAACCCTGGAATCACCCAGTAACCCAGCCCTCTAGGCTCTTCTCTGCCTCCTCTGGCACCCCTGCCTGTTCTGCTGTGAGGCCCTGGACAGCACTCACCCACACTCTGGCCTGTCTTGCTGGATGTTTCAAAGAGCTGAGCTTTGATATCTGTAAAGAGAAGTGACTAAAACCTCCTACCTGAGAATCGGGGTGGATACAAAGGGGAAGGCTAGCAGTTCAGGGAAAAAAATGGACCCACACCTTCAGGGAGGCCAGAAGACCTTCCCAAGGGATCTTGCCATGGCAGCTAAGGTGGTCCCTATTTTCTCTGCTCCACCCAGGCAGCCACCTCCCTCCCCCACCCCCAGGGAACTGAGCAACAGCTACTGTCTGCATAGTCCTGGACGTCGTGGAAGTCCACACGGCGGCGGCGCCTGTCCTCTTCCAGCAGGTCACTCTTGGTGCCACACAGGTAGATCTGACAGCCCTGGGGCAAAGGACAAGGTCAGGGTCACTCCCATGGTCCACCAGCCCCTGGTCGTCTGGTGTGAGGTCTGTCACTTACCTCCTCTAGGTTGCGCAGTTCCTTCACCCAGAACTTTGCCCGCTCAAAACTGCTGCTGTCCGTCAGGTCTTGACACGGGACAGGCAGAAAACACAACCATGGATCAGGGGCCGTTCCCTAAGGCCAGCCTGACACCCATCCCCTCTTTGAGGAACAGGCCAGAACCCCTCTTACCATAGCAGACGATGGCAGCCTTGGCGCCCCGATAGTAGATTCGGCTCATGGCCTCGTAGCGCTCCGAGCCTGCTGTATCCTGAAGGGCAGGGGGCGGCTCAGCCCTGAGTTACCGAGCTACTCCCCAAGATTGCAAACTAATACCACGTCTTCCAGACCCCTATTTTTAAACCGGGGTCTAGAAGAGAAAAATGGCCTCTAGGAGACCCCAAGTCAGCCAGTAATAGGCAGGAGAACCTAAGCCTCCTCATGAATGGGTTTTCTCAGGACTGCTTGCCCAGGGGACTTACCCAAATACCTAAAGTCACCGTCCGGTCTCCAACGGACATCACCTTGGCCACGAAGGCGGCCCCGATGGTCTGCAATCAGGGGGAAGTGATCAGGGCCGCGGGTACGGGCCAGCTCCCTCCCACCCGTACCGGGCCCCGCGCGGCGCACTCACATTCTGATAGGGCCCCACCAGGAAGCGGTCGTGCACGTATCGTTCCACCAGGCTCGTCTTGCCCACGTACTCCTTGCCCAGCATCACCACCTTGACGTCCACGCGCTGCCCGCTCATGCTCCCGGGGTAGCCTCACCCGCGTCAGGGTCCTGAGCGGGGGCGGGAGGCAAACCCGGATCTCCGCTTGGGCAGGCAGCGCCCAAGCCTCAGTCCCCGACCCCAAACCGCCAACCTACGACCGGAGACGCCGCGTCGGCTGGAGCTCCGGCAGCGTCCGCGTCTGCCCCGCTCCTCGGCCCCAGACGCTGCTCCTCCTTCGAATAGCTCAGGACTCAGGGCGGCGTGGGACGCGCGCGGCAGCACCCTCAACGGCGCCGCATGCCGCCGCCCAGTCCGCTCGCAGGCCTCAGGCGTCGCTCCGGCACGGACTCCCCACGGAACCTAGGGGCCCCTTCAACCTGGGTCCTACCCGCAGCGCCGCGACTCCCGCGGGGGGAGGGGGGGGTGTAAAGGGCGAGGGGCGGGGCCGCGGGGTCACGTGCGCGGGCGCCGGAAGTGGTGGGTACGGCGCCGCTGCGCCGGAAGTTGCGCGCGCGGCCCGACAAACTCCTCATGGCGGCGGCGGCTGCTTGGGTGCGGCGCGGTGGTGACTGAGCTGCGAGTCTGGCGGGCGTGCGCCGAGCCCCGGTCCGGCCTCCGTGTGGCCCCACGAGCATCGCACCCCTGATGCTGCGCGGTTGTTGAGTCCGCCCCTGCCGGGACGATGGTGAAGTATTTCCTGGGCCAGAGCGTGCTCCGGAGTTCCTGGGACCAAGTGTTCGCTGCCTTTTGGCAGCGGTACCCGAATCCCTATAGGTATGTGGCCCTGGAAAGAGCAATCCTCCCCCCTCGCTGTTTTGAGATCGAAGTGTGGGGCCGGGAGAGACTCGACATCGAGTCCGAGGTAGGGCATCGTAGGAACTGTTGTGGCCTTCTTTAGGGTGAGAAGACCCTATCCGGAAAAGCGGCCAGGCCAGGCCTGCAAGGTAGTGGAAGGAGGCTGGGCCTGGGCGGTGGTTTACTTGAGGCTCTAGTCCAAGGTTCTCTCATTTCGGGGTGATGAGACAGGAAGAGGCGGCGGCACAGCAGTTGGGAGGGATCTTGGGGTTGGAAGTCCCGGCGCTGGCCTACTCCTCTGCCTGTGGTGTTCCCCACTGGTGTAATAAATCATGAGGTCCAGCCCCCGCTGGAATCCGGTCAGCAAGAGGCCGGGAGTTGGAGTCTGCCCTCGGATAGTCGCAAGGGACTCTAGTTGAGGTGTGAGCCACACTACTTACCGGTGCAAGTTTGGGGAAGGCATGGGCATTCTGGGCCGGGAGGCTCCATAGGGGAACCCCAACAGGCAGTCTTTCAGCGGCATGCCCCTGAGGGTCACCTTCATTCTGATACTTGCAGCAAACATGTCTTGACGGAAGACATAGTGCACCGGGAGGTGACCCCTGACCAGAAACTCCTGTCCCGGCGTCTCCTGACCAAGACCAACAGGATGCCCCGCTGGGCAGAGCGACTGTTTCCTGCCAATGTTGCTCACTCGGTGTACATCCTGGAGGATTCTATTGTGGACCCGCAGAACCAGACCATGACCACCTTCACTTGGAACATCAACCACGCCCGGCTGATGGTGAGACTACTCTCCCCGTTGGTCCCCCAAAAGTAGCTCCAGGTACATGTGGCTAGGAAGCCATGAAGGAGCTTCTGTTGTCTGAGGCAGATTTGGGTTACTGGGGAGTGCTAGATCTAGAGTGTAAACTCAGATGATTTTTTTCAGCCAGTTAGTCTTTTAACTGATTCATACTGTGGCGGGGGGTGGGGTACTTGTTTTACAGAGTTGTCCCAAGCACTAAATACAGAGCACCCTCACTGTGCCTGCCACACATAGAGTGTGGGCCCAAAGAAGTGATGCTGAGGGAAGGAGGCAGTGATTTTTCAAACAGGAGTCTATCAAGCCATAAGCAGTTTCTTTGTGCCTCAGAGGGGAGAGGATCTGGGCCCCTTCCCCCATGATGATTAAAGGAGTTCCACTTTATCTGTCTTACATAATGGGTTTTTGCCTGAGATTTTGGGGGGAGAGGTTCATATACCTTTTGATTTCTTGCCTATAAGAAAGCTGTAAAACCCTTGGTTAAAGGAACATCCTACAGTATCTTCTCACATGTGAATACTCTAAAAGTTTTCAGAGAGCTGTCACTCTTTTTCTCAGCTAACTTCTTCACAGTGGCTCTGGGAGCTAGGTATTACTCTCTTTCGTGCAAAGAGGGAAGTGAGGTTCCGAAAGAGGAAGTGCCCTGCAAGGTCACAGAGCGAGCGGGCACCTTGATGTTCTGCCCCAGAGTTTTCCGAAGGCTTCACAGCTGACTACCCTGAGGGCATAATCTGTTTTTATAAATTACGAAGATAGTGATCCAGCTGTGAGACATGTCTTTTAAGTGTTGCTCTTGGAAGTACTGGTTCACTCGTCAGATAATGAGAGCTGTGACACTGGCCAGATTTCCATTTTCATTTCGCCTGCCAGGGAGCTCAGGCACTGCAGTAGGTGGAAGGCAGGCTAAAAGCACTGCACAGAAAACTTCCAAACAAAGTCCAGGGCCAGGTTGGAGCTGGCACACACTCTACTGATCTCGAGTCTATATGCCTTAGTTGAAAGGGTCAGAGGAGAGGTTTGAGAGAGCAGAATGGCCTTTTTTATGTTCTTGCTGTCTTCCTGAAAGGAAGGTTGGGAATACAATAAGGGAAGGAAGCGGATTTTCACTTGATTGCCCTCCCCTGTGAAAAAGAGGCAGGGGATCCAATTTATGTGCAAATTGATAAAGTGAAAGACTCCCACACGATTGTGGTTGGCCTGACTCCCTGCACAGGTGGTGGAGGAACGATGTGTTTACTGTGTGAACTCTGATAACAGCGGCTGGACCGAAATCCGCCGGGAAGCCTGGGTCTCCTCTAGCTTATTTGGTGTCTCCAGAGCTGTCCAGGTGAGCAGTGTTGTGGGGGTGCTGGGGCTTTGGGACCCTAGGCATTTGGTATGGAGGCTGGGCTAGGGGTCAGTAGGAAGCTCAGAATCTTTCCCCCTTTTTTTCTTTTGCCAGGAATTTGGTCTTGCCCGGTTCAAAAGCAACGTGACCAAGACTATGAAGGGCTTTGAGTACATCTTGGCCAAGCTTCAAGGTGAGGGGCTCTGGGCACAAAAAGAGGCTGGGGTCCAGGCCTAGTGGCCCTGCCAGGTGTGGAGTCCACAGCTGTCACCACCCCACTCTAAGCCTGGGACCCCTCTTCTGTACCCTGGGGCAAATGCCACCCTTTGGACGGGGCCTGGCCCAAAGAGGGGGAGTGTCGGGGAGGAGGGGTGTTGAGGTGGGTCGTCTTGGTGTCTTCTGAAGCCAGCCCCTGCCATTTGCTGCAGGGGAGTCCCCTTCCAAAACCCTCGTTGAGACAGCCAAGGAAGCCAAGGAGAAGGCCAAGGAGACGGCACTGGCAGCTACAGAGAAGGCCAAGGACCTGGCCAGCAAAGCGGCCAGCAAGCAGCAGCAACAGCGGCAGCACTTCGTGTAGCCAGCCCAGGCCCCAGGGCGGTAGGACACCTGACCGCCTGGCTCCAGTCCCTCTGCCCTTCCTCCTCTTACTTTACTAGTAAAACTCAACTTCCAGCCCTTTCTGCTCTCTGGGAGGCGGGGGCCGGGGGGCTGGGGCGGTTGGGGCTGGGTGTCCCGTTTGGCGCGGAGCCATGGACGGGCCTAGGGAGGGGCGGTGGCTCGCTCAGGGGCACAGGGTGCAGGGGGGGGAAGCCTAGACTGTAAGCTCCGCGAGGGCAGGGGCCTTTGTTGCATTCTCTGATGTGTCTCAGGTACCTGGAACAGCATCTAGCACATAACAGGCACTCAATAAATAGTTCTTAGAGTCAGAAAGCTTTAGTTAGACTCTTGACTGCACGCTTTCCTGGCTTTGGGCCTCAGGCAAGTCTCGTACTCCGCCTCAGTGCCACCTGTGAAGCGGGGCCAGACAGCCCCCAGCTGTGAGGCGCAGAGGGACACTGCCTGGTACGGTGAACGATCCGTGTCCGTCACGGCTATGATCTCATTTCCTCTTTTCCAGTTTGTCCGTGCCTGAGAGTTCTCCATTTTCATCAGGCAAGACCACGGACAGGAAGTTAGCAAAGAGGCTTAAATTTAATGCGAATACCGTCCAGTATCTGGGGGCCTTCTCTAGGAAGGAACGTGAGGGCCCAAGAGGCTTCATGCCCCCCGTGGGGACAGCAGAGCCAAGTGCTACAAGAAAGGCCTGGAAGGGTGGCCCGGGCGCAAGCTGCCTGCCCTGCAGGCCACGGGGGAAGCATGGGCAAGCCCTCCCCCAGGAGGGCCAGCCGGCAGCCAGCGGCGGGGTGGTGGTGGGGGGGGGGAACGGGGTGGGGGGAGGCAGGCACCTGTTCCCACGGAAGGGTCCTTTCAGTCCGTTGCAGGCAGCCCCTGAGGCTTGCGGCGGGTTCCGACCTCCGAGCCGAGGGCAGCGTGTGGGCGGGCGGCCGGCGCCGGGCAGGTCACAGCCAGCTGCTGCAGCCGTGGGAGTAGCTGTGCTCCCGGCCCGCGCCGAAGCCCCACGGCAGCTCGGCCTCGGCCCCGGACGCCAGGCTCTCCACGTCCACGTCCGCCTCCTCTGCACAGGGAGGCCGCCAGTCAGGGGCCGCGGCCCGCTCAGCCCACGCGACCCCTTGGCTTTCGGGGCACTCACCTCGGTCCGAGTCCGAGCGCTCGGAGGAGAGGCCCGAAGAGTCCAGGCTGTGTGCCCGCGGCCCCGCCGGCCCCCGGAGTCGCTCCAGCTGCCGCCGCAGGCTCTGTCGCTTGCTGCGCAGCTTCTCCTTCAGCCGCCGCGCCTGCCGCTCCTGCGCCTCCAGCTTCTGCGGGTCCCAAGGGGGCGAGGGCCCGGGCTCAGCACAGCACTGCCAGCGACGGCCCGGGCATTGGTCACTGCCTGCTGCAGTCCACATCTGGGCCCCAGGGGCCAGCCTCCCTGCCCTCCGGCTCACATAAATGCCCGGGGAGCATGCTGTGTTGGGCTGGGGACGGCGCCACAATCTCAAAAGGCCGTCAGGGCCTAGTCAAGGGACGTGGGTCTGTCTGCTGCAAGCAGCAGGGACGGGGGAGGCCTGTGGCATGGCGGTGAGCACGCACTGCAGCTCAAGGGGGCGGCCACATGCAGACGGGCCTGGTGCTGCCACGTGGCCCAATTTCTTTAAGAAAAGCTGGAAGTCAGACTTTTTAATGTCAAATGTCCTTTTATGTGCTGCCAGCTAATTTAAGTTTTTAGAAAACTACAGACCAAACAAAGCCTACCGGTTTGTAACTCCTGGTCAAGACCCTCCCAGGAACCCTGGAGCTTTAGCATTAATCCCCCTCCAGCTCTGCCAGCCTGCGGTCCAGGGACTGGAGGGCCAAGGGTTCTCCCACCAGCGCCCTTGCAGGCAGAAGCCTGCATTCAGTCAACAAGAAAGGAAGGACTGAGCAAGGGGACATTTGTACTGGGTGTAGAAGGATGAGTAAGAGCTGCCTACACAAAGATGGGGCAAGCAGCAGCATCCAAGCAGAGGGAAACTGGGAAGATCATGGAGAATTCAGCTTTTCTGGTAGGGCATGGGCATGGGAAGATAGACCAAAATCAGACCAGTGGCAAGGCCTGGGCTGTGAAGGTTTACAGGAAGGAAGGAAGGAACTGAGACTGTCTTGTCAGGAGCCATGGAAGGTTTCCAGCAGGAAAGAGACCTGGACAGATCTATGTGCCCTAAATTATATTCCAGGGCAAGTTGGACGACAGCTCACAGGAGGCCAGGGAGTCCAGGAGAGGGGTGATAGGCTTAGGAAGGAGCAATCCCCAGGTCCTGCCCATGGGCCAGCCAGCACCCAAGGGGCACACATCAGCCCTCCAAGAACCAGGCCAGGCAAGCTCCATGTGAGAAACGGGCCTGCTACCAGGCCAGGGTGTTCTTCAGCACGATGAGGGGATGCGGGCACCATGGGGCAGAGCTCACAGTCCCTGCACTGTGATTTATTTGCTGCATGGCACATGGACTGTCTACCACAACGCCTGGTGCCTAGAAGAGGTGCTCAATAAACACTTGTCAAAGGAAACAGCAAGTCAGGGGACTTGGGCCTGGGTTATGACTCTGCCTCTCATTAGCTGTGCTGCTCAGTCCTTGGCCTGGCTGTGCCCCCATTTCTTCCTCTGCGAAAAGGGCCAGGAGGGCAGGAAAAGGTCTCTATTGTTTCTGAGGCCATTTCTAGGGCTGCTGCCCCCCTCCCCCCAACCTGAGTCAGCTACCCCACTCCTGTCCACCAGGAGGCACTGAGCTTAGCCCAGGTAGCAGAAGGGTGCTGGGAGGAGGGGTGACTGGCTTCCCTCTCCTGGCCTCTGGAACTGCCTCCCCAAATGGCATCAGAATAGATAGAGGCCTTGGGGGGATGGGAGAGTGGAAACCTCTGCAGTCCTAGGGACCCCGACACATGACACATCAGAATGTTTTCAACAGCCATGCCCCTCTGTACAGAGGGGGAACCAAGTCCAGAAAGGCTGAGTGACTTGCCAGTTAGGACTGAATTGATAATAGCTATAATAACCATGAACGTTTACTGGGCAAACTCACTCAAGCCTCAGAACAGTCCTCTTGAGTTGTCTTCTGCTTTTCTTCCTACTTAGCACAAATGGAAGCTAAAAGCATAGAGAACTGCTGGGCGGTGACCTCGGGCCTCTCCCCGCAGTTCCACGCAGCCCCTCTCTACTACACCTCTCACAGGTCTGGGCAGGCTGGCCGCAGGGCGCAGTGGTAGCTCCTTACCTGGATGTGCATCCTGGCCCAGCGCAGAAGGCTCAGTGTGGTGTAGCGGGCACAGTCAGCCCCCAGGGGCATCTGCTGTTTTAGCTGCTCTAGGCACCGCTTCAGCTGGGCCCTCCTGCGGGGGAAGGAGTCTGGAGGGCAGTGCCAGCCCAGCCTTGCTGGCTGGAGGGACAGCGAGGGAGGGAAGGCCAGAGGGAGATGGTTCCTGGGGCCCAGTGCTGTCAGGGCAAAGCTGGGACTCACCTGCGTTTCTCCAGCTCGTTGTGCACAGACCTGCCAATGCCAGGGAGGATGAGGGGGCGTCAGCTACTATCCACACCCTCAGTCCCGGGGGCTTAAAACCCACTATAGATGTGGGCCCCAAACTAGCCTAATGCGGGGACCTTGTGCCAGCCTTGAGCACTGGAGTCCGCAGGAAGAGGCAGAGAAACTGGGCCAAATGCTGAGAGGCCTGCCCAGGTGGTTGTGGGGTCCAAACGAGGCCCCCTACCAGCAGTCAGGAAGGGCTTCCCGGACAGAGGTGACAGCTGAGCTGGGCCAGAAACATGCTACCCAAAGTGGGGTAGTGGAGGGGGAGGCATTAAAAGTGGAGGGATTAGCATGTGCAAAGGGTTGAGAAAAAGAGAAAAGTCTGTGAGGGAAATCGAGTCGCGATGCGGACTGCAGGAGCGTGAACGGAAGGAGGACCCTAAGGCCTCGTTTCTAGTTTCTGACACATTAGGGGTGCTCGAGAAACAGTCCCTGAATGAACAGAGGGGAGTGAGGAGATGGCAGGAGAGGTCTGAATTGCCTCCAGAGTAGGGGAGCTGGCCCAGAAGATACAAGCAACAAGGAGGAAGTGGGCAAAGGTGAGGCCCCATGAGGGATGGCACCCCCCCCCCCCCCCCCCCCCCCCCCCCCGGCCATCCTCAGCCCTCCTCACCGCCCACTGTCCAGCGCGCCAGAAGCTTGGGGGGATCGCTTCCTCCTCCTGTAGACTGGGCCTGGACTGCGGTGAGGGCACAGGGACGCGTAGCCATGCTCGGCTTCTGCCAGAGAGAGCCCCAGCCCACTTCAGGCTGGGGCTGGTCCCAGCAGGCGCCCCTGGCAAGGCACGGTCAGGGAAGGGCTTTTGGCGCCAGGGCCATTTCCCTAACCCCTCCCAGTCCGACAGCCCGGGGATCCCTCCCCCGCACGCACAAGTTGAGGGCGGGGTGCCCCGGGGCTACTGCCTAAAGCCATGCATGCATCCTTCTTGTTGGGAGCCAAGTCCAGCCCAGGCCTGTGTCAGCGAGGTTGCCGTCTGGAGTCTGGCCAAGAGTTCTTCCTCACCTCTCTCACGGCGCTCTAGGAACTCCGCCGCCTGCAGCAGGACCTGGATATTGCGGACCTGGATATTGCTGGCCACGGGTTCCATGTCGGCGACAGCTGGCAGCCGGCGGGCCTAGGGTGCTGGCCCGAAGAGCGGCTGCACCACTTTTGTTACAATGTAACTGACACGGTGCAACAAACACAGGGGCCCAGCCCCGCCCCTGGGACACCCCGCCCCCGGGACGGCCTAGCCCTTGGCCCCGCCCCCCCGAAAAGGGGTCAGGGAACAGCCGACCACCTCCACGAGCCTGCCCCCACTCAGACTCCCGGGGCTGCTACCGGCGCCGATTCCAGGCCCAGCCTTTGAGTGAATCCCCGGGCTGAAGGGGGCCACGTCTCGCCCATTTCACTCAACGACCCCGCGCCGACTGCTTAGTATATCAGGGCCCCAGTTTCCAGCCCCAAACTGATAGCGAAGGCTCTGCACCTCAAATGGTACTCCGGGGGCCCTGGGTGTCCGGGAGGCCCCAGCTCGGTCGCTGCACGTGGTCGCCGCAGAGGCGGGGCCGGCGGGCACCCTCGCCCATTCGCCCGCTGCCTCCTGCGGCTCGCTGCCTTCACCTTCGGGGCGGGGCCGGGGAGCTTCTGAAGCACTATTGGCGCTGTGCAGCCCCGCCCTCTCCCTCCGCTGGTCAACATGTTCAGGCGGGAAAAGGAGCAGGTTTCAAATTTGAAAACCCGGGCAATAGGGGCGGGGCTGTGCGGCGTTGGGCGGGGAACGGAGCTGCAGTGCGCAGGCGCCGGGGGAGGGGGCGCAGATCCAGCTCCTATGCTTGAGGGTCTGTGCCCTCGCTCTCCTGCCATCTGCACCCCTACGCCCCCGCTGGGCCGCAGCTTCCTGTTGTGGCGAAGGGGAATAGTCTCCTGGCTCCTCCTCCTCCTCGTCTGCAGGGAAGCTACTGTTGCTACGAAACTGTCAGTAGGGTACCGATTTCCCAAGCCAAGCCATACTCCGGAAGCAGGTGAACTAGCTTGCTAGGGAGCCCTGGGTTCTGGAGGCCACGGAGCTGGGTTCCTCTCCTGTGCCCGCTTCTTCTCAACTGTGTGACTCGGGAAGTGACCTCCCTCCTCTATGTTCAGGAAGCCCTGTGACGACAGCACTGTCGCAGGATCAGAGCCCTTGCCCATCTGTGCCCAGTACGTTGTAGCTCCTGACTTCTGAGGCCAGTGCAACCAGAGGCAGGTTTCTTCCTCCCACAGAACCCCTGGCTGCCTGAGTCCAGGAGCACTTCTTTAACATGACTTTTTAGCCTCCCAAAGGAGTATATGCAGTGCCTTCTAAGGGCAGCACCAGTAGGTGTAGCCACACCTGCGGGAACAGTGAGTCTAAGGGTGGAGACAGGAAGATGAAAGCAGCTGTTACAGGGTGGAGCATTACAGCCAGGCTGGGGCTGAGTGTGAAATGGCTAAGAGGGACTAGATTCTGTATGAAGAAACAGTCCTGGGAAACACATGATATATGGCAGTCAGAGAAACCCAAAGGTCTTTTTCCCCTGAGGACTAAGAGTCACTCCCGGAGGAACCACTGACATGCTCCACCAACTGCTGCCTGGAACTGTCCCCCCGTTCACCCATCCATTTGCTCACAAGGTATTAGCAGAGTAGGTCCTGGACCACAGGCTCTGTGCCTAGGACTGAAGAATACAAAATGGGAACAGCCAGATAGGGTTCCTGCCTTCGCAGAGCTCACGGCAGGGGGGGGGGAGGGGGGCGGCGAGTGACACAATAATCACACAACAGTCACAGTTTTGCCAGGTCCTCATAGGAAAAGACACAACATGAAGGCAAGTCCTAAGGAGCATCTGTCCGAATCAGGGAGGTGTGGGAAGGTTTTGCTGGGGAAGTGGATGGACAGGTATCTCTGTATAGGAGGTCTGTAGGAGAACTGCAGACTGAACAACAGGCGCCAAGGCCTGAGGCTGAAAAGAATGGAGGCGGACCAAAAGAAGTCCGACGGGGCTGGCAACACAGAGAGCAAAAAGCACAGTGCAGGCTGATGCTGGAGAGGCGGACCAGGCCCACAACAGGCTGACTGGTCCTCCAAACCTCCACCCACAGTTACGTTTGAAGAAAGGACGGCACAAGGCTTGTGAATGAATTCCCAAGTGTATTTCACTAAAGTCAGCACCCACACAGTGCAGGCGCAAACCTACTCTTCAGACACCTGCGACCCAGGGCGCCCGGAAGAGAGGGATTCTGAAGGAGGAGAGCTCCCAGCAGCAGAAGGGAGCAAGGCACACTTGAAGAGCTACAGATGATCTGACTGGAAGTTGTGGAAGTGAGAGTGCAGCTGCAAGAGCACCGGAGGGGCCACACCAAGAAGGGAACTTCATCGTGGGAGCTGCTGCGGGCAGGCCTGGGCCTGGGACTAGCATGGAGAAGGGTCACCTGGGCCTCAAGGCCTCCTGTGGATATGATCAGGGCCACCAGCCAGCGGGACAAGAAGCACCACCTCCCAGGAAGCAGGCAGGTGGGGAGGATGGATGAAGATGTGTCTTTTTCCTCTATCTACTTGTAAGTTTTCTCTTTATCTTTGGTTTTCAGCTGTTGCCTTGCTTTGTGTTTGCCTTGTTTAAAATGTTGTTTCTGTAAAGTTTTTCAGTCTTTATTTCTTCAAATATTTTTTCCTGCCCTATTTTCTTCCTCTTCTTACTCTGATCCCAATTTCAAGTATCCTTCCCAGTCTGAGAATACATCAATGGTAAGCGATGTTGTTCATGTTTTCAGGTGGTAGTTTTTTGTTTTTTAATCTCTCTGCTTCAGTGTGGATAAGTTCTATTTACTTGTCTTCAAGTTCGCTTATTCTTTCTTCTGTGAAGTCCAACTTGGTGTTTAGCCCATCCATTGTGGTTTTTATTTTAGCCACTGTGTTTTTCAGATCTAGAATTTCCATTTGGTCTTTTTAAAAAAAGTTTTCTATCCATATCCCAGACTATCTCATGGCCTCATGTATTAATTTCCTAGGCTCATAACAAAGTACTATAAAATGAATGGCTTAAAAAAACAGAAACATAGTCCACAACAATGCTGGAGGCCAGAAGTCCAAACTCGAGGCTGAGCAGGGTTAGTCCATCTGGCGGTTCTGCGGGACAGTCCATTCCAGGCCTCTCTCCTCTTGCTGGTGGCTGCCAGTAACCCTTGCCAGTCCTCAGCTTGTACATGTATCACTTCAATCTCTGCCTCTGGCTTCACAAGGCGTTCTCCCCTGTGTCTCTCTAGGTCCAAATTTCCCTTTCTTATAAGGATACCAGTCAATGGATTAGGGCCCAATATTAGGACCTCATGTTAACTTACCTAATTACATCCGTGAAAGACTATTTCCAAATTAGGTCACATTCAGAAGTTCTGGATAAATACTCTTCAACTCATTATACCCTTCTCTGTCCCAGTTATTCTTTTCCCATTAATTATTTTATATATTTATAATAGTTTATGTCCTTATCTGCTAATTCCAGTAACTTGGGGTTTTTTTTTTTTTTGGTGGATGGTCTATTGTTTTAAAAATATTTATTTATTGGGGCGCCTGGGTGGCTCAGTTGGTTAAGCGTCTGCCTTCGGCTCCGGTCATGGTCCCAGGGTCCCGGGATCGAGCCCCGCATCGGAATCCCTGCTCAGCGGGAAGCCTGCTTCTCCCCCTCCCACTCCCCCTGCTTGTGTTCCCTCTCTTGCTGTGTCTCTCTCTGTCAAATAAATAAAAAATCTTTTAAAAAGATTTGAGAGAGAGCATGTGCACACGAGCAGGGGGAAGGGCAGAGGGAGAGGGAGAGAATCGCAAGCAGACTCCCTGCTGAGTGTGGAGCCTGGCACGGGGCTCCATTCTACAACCCATGAGATCATGACCTGAGCTGAAACCAAGAGCTGGATGCTTAAGTGAGCCCCCCGGGCGCCCTTGGGTCTTCTACTGACTGTGTTTTCTCTTGATTGTAAGACATGAAAGAAAGAAAACGTGCTTTATAATTTTTTATTCTAGAACATAAAAGGGAGTAAAAAGAATATAACTATGTCAAAGTGTGTGTGTGCATGTGTGTGTATTTGTTTCATTTATTTTCCTGAGAGACCAAGCAAGTCCTTACCTATCTGGCAGTTAGAACAAAGGGCTTATGATTTGGATTCCTCTTGAGTACAGTTTCGTGAGGAATTCAGCCAAATGTACAGTAAGAGTGAACACAGTCACTTCTTAAACCAACTGCAAGTTCAGGGGATTCCTAAAACAATGCCTGGGGATGATTTGCTAGGACTCACAGAACCCACTCAAAGCTAAAATACATACTGCATACACTGTATTATACAGCTTCTTACAGGGAAGGGATACAGATTAAGACTGGCCAAGGAAAGCAGCTCATGAGTCTGGAGGACTAGGAGATGCGGACTGCCACTATTCTCTCTCCCCGTGCATTTAGGACATGTTACTTTCCCGGTATCGATGTGTGGCAATTACACAGAGCACCAAGTACTAGGGAGGCTATTCCAAGACTCAGTACTCAGTTTTCAGAGCTCCGTTACATGGGCACGATTGAGTGCCCATGTGGTTGATCTTAAGTCTCCACTGGACTGAGTCATGTGATCTAAAGCCCACCTTAAATCACACTGTCATTCACTGGCTAACCCAAGGCCTTTGGGCAAACAAAGATCATCTTCCAAGAGCTGAGGGCAGAAGACAGAGGCCTCTTTTGTGAAGTTAAATGCCACCACTCCCTTGGTCAAGACTCTTACCACAAAATAATCATATTCCCTAACATTTGGAGGGGCTAGTGTGGAAGTAGGGATAGATTTAAAGAAACAACTAATGTAAAGCCTATAAAGTGAGTACATACATTTTCTTATTTTTGTCCTAATTATTTATTCCCCCCTTTGTACTTTATGATAAGCTGGTACAGAGCTATTCAGCTTAGAAATTAGCTGACACTGGGGCACCTGGGTGGTTGGTTAAGTCGGTTGGTTAAGCATCTGACTCTTGATTTCATCTCAGATCATAATCTCAGGGTCGTGGGATCAAGCCCCACATCAGACTCTGTGTTCAGCGGGGAGTCTGCTAGAGATTGTCTCTCTGCCTCTCCCTCTGCCTGGCTCCCCATCTCGCCTCACACACTCTATCTCAAATTAGTTAAT